CACATGGGTGTCCTGGGGTTCCCTGCTTAGGCATAATTAACAGGGTGGTAAACCTCATATGGTATGAGGTGATAGTGACTAAAAAATTTTGTAAATTTTGTAGGGCATGTATCAATTCATTTTTTCTTTAAAATAGGTGTCTTAACGTTGGCGCCAGGTGAAATTCTTACTTCTTATGCAATTATGGCTATTAATCAGGGTAATTTTGAAGGGCAGTTGAAGATGTAAACTGGGATATAGATTTTTACTTCCATAGACAAATAGAACTCTTCATTTTTTCTTCTCTTTTTAGTTTTATTTTTAGTTTTTTTTCTTTTTATTCTTGTTGTTTTCTTTTTTCCTTTTAATTATAGATGTAACTATTCTTTCTTTTTCGTTTCTCATTCTGTTTGATGTTACATTTAATATCGACTTAGTAATATTATGTTATTTTGTTAAATATGTAGCTTTTTATTTAAATGAAAAAGAGATAATAAGTTTTTTACATTCATGATATCTTTATAATTAATTGGATTTGGGAAAATTTTTGTGTATAAATGTATATGAGCGTATGAAGCTATATAGTACGTATATAAGATAATAAAGTACACAGACATAATTGTATTAGTGTAAAAAACATATAAACAATGGAAGATACGACTAAAATATATTTATTCTTTATTTTAGAATTTAAGCTGTCGGTATGTAATAACTCTATTCATATAAGAAAAAAAAATATTTCGTAAACGTTAAAAAAAAATGAAATATATTCCATGAAAAAATTTTCAATAATTCAGATTTGAACACTGTATATCATTCTTTTTCTTCTTTCAAAATAAACGTTCATTAAACTAGTTAAAACATATTCTTGAATATACCAACTTGTAGCATAAATAGATATGGTAATAATTAAAGCCTTAAATTCTTTGATTAAATATACACAAAAATCCATAATGTATCTGTAGGATTATTAATCATGGCTGATTCAAATGATGTATAAAGTGAATAAGTGAATAAGTGAAACGAAAAAATTTGAAAAGATATAATAAAGGAACAAGGATTTTAAATTAAATCATTTTATTAAATGAATAATATAAGTATTTAAAAATATGAATATTTACTAACTCATTAAAAAATATTTTCTGGTACTATATTGAGAATACACTTATTTGAACCCAATTTGTACGATATATGATGCTATTTCCTTTACATGTGTAAACTAAGAATGTGTTTATAGATTTAAAATTTTAACCAGGTGATATTATTATTATGAAATAATCTTTTGTAGATTAAATGAAAATATGACTTCAAAAGTGTAGTAATGTCAGTTGTATTTACTAATATTAAAAAATCATATTACTTTCGTACTTTTCGTTAAAAAAAAGAAAATTGAATTATTTTTTGTTTTATTAATTGTAATCATAATTATATATCAACATTATATAGAATGGTTATCGGTTCTATTTTTATTAATAAAAAATCAATCTTTTTATTTTTATTTTTCTAATTAAAAAAAAAATTTACTTTGTTAATTTGATTGTTAAATTGGATCTGTCCACATGATCACTTTTCAATAATAATTCCGCAGCTGAATCGTTACTGTGCGACCGTTGAATGATCATCACATGAACTGAATCAGCTGATCAATGATAAATCCACAATCATTTGATATTACATTAGATATAAAATATTTCATTGCACCCACGAGTCAAAATTCAAGTTGAAGACTCAAGTATCAACTCGAGTTATATAACTTGGGTACTTTTCAAGTCAGAAATTTTTCTTGACTCATTTTCCACATGTAAGTTTACATAAGGTTACATGGATTTTTGTAAGAACACAAGATTACAAACTAACAAATTTCCTGATGGAAACTAAAAATAACTAAAATATAAAGTCATAAAAGATTATTTTATCCAATTATGGTAAATTGTATAGTATAATGAAAGAAGCCTTATATTCTTTGCAAGAACTATTGGTAATTGTGAACTTTATGAAATTATCATGACATAAACAAATTCTGTAAAAATATTCTTAACAAGAACATTTTATTAAGTAGAAATATAGAAATTTCAACAAAGTAATATCTGATATCTGACGAGACTAAACCAAATTTAGTGTGATTTGACCTTGGCCCAATTCGTCAATCAATGGTGAATTTTGCATTATAAAATTGTTAGTTCAATATTCTAGTTTGTGTTTATAAATTTATTGACACATAACAAAAAAACAATAGACTTTTTTATCTTGTATAAAATATTAAACTGTATGTTTAACAAATAAAATGAAATAAACAATATATTTATTAACAATTGGTTGTAAAAATAATACATTAAGTAACTAAATATGTTATCCCACTTTTCTAAAATTATTAATAAATTCCAGGCAAATATAGCCAGAATACAGTTAGAGATAAATACATCATAATATACTAAGAAAAACAGCCTAAAATCCGAATGGATAATATCAGGACGGTTTTCTGATATTAATAAGGCCAAAGTTTCTGAGTAAACGTAAATTATAATTCAATTTTGTATGTTAAAACTTAACCTGACTTAAAGGAAGGTTACAACTCAAGATAAAGATTTAAGTAATTAATAAAAACTATTTATATTAATAAGTCAATTTATGATACAATTTATCATAATTCTAAAAAAAATGAGTGAATACAAATTAATAAAGAGTATATTTTTTTTTTATATTATTTAAAAATAATGATTATACTAACCATAAGGAATTTCCAATTTATTTTGTTCTTCCGAATGAAGGTTTGGATTATTATGTATTTCATTCTCATCTATAAAATATATTCTTTAATTTACAAATAATACAAATTAATTAAATTTTGATAAATATTTTTCACATACCATTAATATTAATCATCGTTCCTTTCATTTGCTGTCGTATTGCTTCTTTTTTATAATAATCTCGTACATCTTGTATTTAAATAAAAATCATTGAATATTAATGAAATAATAATATTATCATTATTAAATATTTTAGATGAATATATGATTGTACTTACCATAATTTAGATTTACTTGTGACGTTTCAAATATTTGGGATAATCTTTTGCTATTAACTGAAATTATTAACATACAAATTAATGATTATATCATAATTTAATGCATAAATAAAAATTAATTACCTTTAATAGAAATATCACCATTTTGAGTATTCAATTTATCAAAATCATCAACTAAAGTAAGCGTAAGTAAGTCGTAATACAATAATTTTATACATATAAATAATTACTTACTATTATCAGGAATAGTAAAATCATATGATTTACTATAATATCCTATTTGCATAATATGATTTTAAAATTATTTATATTAATAAAATCTGACGAACTTTAAATAAAAATTATCATTACATACCTTCTTGTTCTTCTATTATTATAAATAGTAAAAAATTAAGATGTTAAATAATAATAAATTTATTAATAATAAGAAAATAACTATACCTTCTGTTGCATTCCTTGGTTCAGGCAAATTTTCAAATTTATAAATACCACTTGAAGACGACCTATCATTTATATAATTTGTTTCTAAACCATTAATTTTATTTATCTTTGGTTGTAATAATTCATTTTGCATATTTTGAAATGATAAATGAATTTCTCTTATCTGCTTCTTGAGCGTCTTTATATTAGGTCTTTTTAATGGATCGGCATTCCAACATTGTTTCATTAATATCTTATATTCTAAAGGAGTTGCTGATACAATTTTTGGTCTCATACCGTTAATAATCTTCATTGCAAGGTTATAATCATGTTCATGATCTATAAATGGTGGTTGTCCGGATGAAATTTCCCACATAAGCATTGCAATACTATATATATCAGATGCAAAAGTATATTCGTTTCCAGCGATTATTTCAGGTGCTATATAAGGAAGATTCCCATATATACTCTTTGACGATTTATCGGCGGGTCCACAGAATCCAAGATCACTAATATACCAATAATCATTGAATTGTGAATATAATATATTTCCAGAATGTAAATCTCTATGAATTGCATTTTCTTTAAAAATTTTATAAATTGCATTAATTATTTCATAAATAATTTTAATCCTTTCTTTCCATGTAAGCTGATTGTGATTTTGTTGTAAATATTTTCTCAAATCAAAATCCATTTTTCTCATTACAAGCATATAATTTCCATTTAATAGATCTTGTGTTAAACCGTAACATCGAACAATATCTTCCCATTTATTGCTTATAGTTAAGTGTGATTTAGCCTATATAGGGATTTAAAATTTTTTTTAATTAATAAAAATATAATGAATTTTAAATAAACAAATTTAGATAACGTACCTCTTCAAACCAATTTCGATTTGCACATTTAACATTTTCTAATCTCTTAAGTATAACCTTATGAGTTCCAAATCTTATTAATTGTTGTTTTTTAGAATCCCATTCTTCATATTTTCCATCAATCCAAATTGCAGTATAAATTTCGGAGAATCCACCTTTTGTAAGATATTTAATATCTTTTAAATTATTATATGGAATCCATTCAATTATTTTACTTGGTATGAAAGTTTCCATTTGACATTTTTGTATTAAATTATCAATATCATTATTTTCAGATGTCCAATTTGAAAATTTTTTTTTTAAATAATTTCGAACACAATATTCACAATATGATGTAGCCAAACATTCTTGATTACAATTTTCACATATTCTTTTTGTTCCTGAATTATATATAATTTTATCTCGATCATAAAATTTATATAATATTTTTATCGCTTCAGTTTTTTCATCTTCCGTAAGAGATTTATCAGATAAAAGTGTTTGTTCATAAAATTTATATTGTTTGTGTATGTCATTGTGAATATTATAATCAGTTGACGTAAATGCTTTCATACCCGCTGTATAAACTAATTCATATCGAATATTGGACATAATGAAAAATTTTTCAATTACAAATTCAATTAATATTATTAAATTGATATACGGTAAAAAATGAGCGAAATTTTAGAGTCCGTTCAGTAGAATATCCGATTTTGTGTTAATCCGGATAAAACGGATAATTAAAAAAAAATTCCTTTACAGTGCCGGCCCTAAATTTTATAAATCACGTGACTTCGGATAATAGTTTGGACGAACTTATTCTACTTTACTCTGGGTTCAAGGTTATTATCCTAGACCCTATGTATAAATAATTTTTTTAAGTATCTTTCCCGTGATAGTTCAATTGAGGTCTAGGTTATTATCTATTTTAAGGACACTCAAATAGCTTAGCAACCGGAATATCCGTGTAAAATACGGGGTTTTTAATCAATTTATATTCTATTCCGCAGTAAATTCCCACGATCTAGGATCAGACTTTCACCAATTTCTTTCTTTAGCAATTTATTTACTACTCCTTGTATTCTTGTAATACATTTAATTTATTTCTTTAAATATTTTAAAATGGAGATCTAATTTTGAACAAATTTCATTCAATAATAAAACTTTAAGTAATTTACGTGTTACTTATTTGTCGTACTACATCTTTGTGAATTAATTATGTTGATTATGATTGGTAAACTTTTTCTTTTGTTTGTTTACGCAAATTTCTTTATAACATTGAATAAAGAAACAGACAACAATAATAACTTTTTTTATTGTTTATATCTTGCATGCATTGTAAATAACTTTATTAAAAAGGAAAAGTAAAAGCCAATTTCATTGCATTGCTGAAAATATGGTCGAGTGGATTTTATTATTTATTATCAATTATCGTTATTTTTATACATTTTATTATTTATCAATTATCAAGATAATGAATATTTCGTAACATACTGTACATGACAGATTAGAAGTCAGGATTAAAATATATATGTAAATATTAAGTTTTATGTCAATCACTCAATTCAGTCCGGCGCAAGCCTCTGTATCGGATAATGTTGGCTTAATCCTGAACAGAATGATTTATTTAAGAATTTATCTGCGTTGTCGATAATACTATCATCGTTGCAAATATTATATTTTCGAAAATGACCGATTTTGCTTATGTTATATGTATATATACACACACTTTTAATAATAAGGTTTCATTCTTTATACCTGAAAATATTCAGGATTATTAGATAATTAGTTTTCTGATAGACTGATTTAGAAGATCTGGACGAATGTGTAGATAGAGAAACTGTGGTTGACTTACATGAAATAGTTCCCTCATTAATTAGTGAAAAGGTCCGAGGGGAATAAAGATTCCTCCTATTCATTTGAGACAGACTCATCCGAAGATTTTGATTCAGTTGAGACAATCGTGGTAAGAGAAAAAAAGGCTATCCCTCATAAGCAACGAAGGAAGGCACGACCGAGAAAGGTTAAGCGATTGATGGTTTGAAGTGGGCCGAGCCAGAGGGGTTCGAAGAACCAGGTGTTTGCATGATCATTGGTAATTTTTATTGGACTTATTCTTATGTTTATGAAGATCAACGTCAGGATAATGCTAGGTTCAGAAAATTTTTCTTCTAATAAAATCGAGACAATTGTATCTTTCGTTAAATCTAAAACATCTTTATTCACAATGTCTACAATCATAATTAATCCAAAGGGATACCCAGCCTCCGTTATCAGTAAATACCGATTCTGAATGAATTGAGAAATTATTACTCCGGAGCCTAATATATTTTTCTCATAGTTTTTATGGTATGCGCCATCAGCTAATATTTTGAGAGGATCTTCATAAATATACATTTCTCCTGCAAATCCATCCAAGTCGCTTGGATAAATGAGAAGAATACGTCTTTCTAATCGATTCATATTTTAAAACATGTAAGTTCTATACTTAGATTTCAAATTGATATGCTATTCCGGAGCTGTGATCATCAGCTCGGAAGATTTATTGCTGAACTGAACCACATGCATGTACTCCTGTGCGACAAAATAGATTGATCACCGGATAGGGTCTGTGCGACATAATAATTTTCAAAGAAAATATATATGCTAACTACCTCTATTTTTTTCCCACACAAACATGAGAAAAATGTAAAAGAAAGTCTACACGCAATACAGGACCTACCGTAAAAGTAAATATTGACGACAAAAGCATATGTTATGAAGAGCTAAGGGACTCGCAATTTCAAGATCTACACGAATTAGCCAACTTTGAGTCTTGCGGGTAGATCTCCATGTGAAAAGGTATGAAGATTCCATATACATGTGCTTTCATAGAGCTCTTGGCATCATACGACAATGCTAATCACTTTTCTTATCTCCTTAACTTTTCCCCAGCAAGATATAAAGCATGAAAGAACTCGTGGAAGTTCAGCCAACCTTCCCGCAAAAATATTCCCAAAAAAATAACGTAAAATAAGGTATGTATATACCAGAGGTTACGCTTGATGAGAATGAAAGTTTCTCACTGTGGCCTTGTATTTAGGAAATCAAGATGTCTTCCAGTGTAGATAATGAATTATAAGTCTTAACTTCCGTTATCGTAATGCAGGAAATAAAAACGTAATTTTCGTGATTGAGATTTCTAAGGATAAACATGTCTCTGATTATTGAAGAAGAAGTAAGAAAGAAGTTAAAGAAGTTAGGGCCAATCAATCATAATGACTTTCTCTGTCAAATTTATCCTGAGGAGAGCCTATTTGACGACATTCTTCGCAGAATAAAAAATATGGGTCCAGTTGTTGACAGAAATGAGGTTATGCGCTGTGAATATATTTCAACAATTCTTTACACAGCTGTCAGTCTTCTTAAAGATTTGCTTATCTTACCTCAGATGACAGTAACAGGTGCTGAAAGTTCCGGTCGTGATTTAATTTACAGTATATTCTATAATTAGACACCTCTAGTTTAACATAAAAATGCCACAACTCTGTCAACAATTTTATTGTTAAAAAGGAGCTTCGTTTGGCCCAAAAGATTCAAAAGCTCCACGTTATTGTGCTACGCATAAGCCAATTGGTCATGTTAACGTGAAGACACAGTGTCAAGAAGATGGCTGTTATAAGTTTCCTCATTTAGGTTTCTCTAGCTCAAAAGCAACTTCATGCGTCACTCATATGAAAGATGGAATGATTCACTTAAGGGTCAGAAAATGCTTAGAACCTGGATGTACTACACGCGCGGTTTTTAATGTTGTTGGCTTAGATAAGGGCAAATTCTGCGCTAAACGCGCTAAACACAAAAAACCAGAAATGATTGATATCCAAACTAAAATTTGTAAATATTCGGGTTGTCAAAAAAAGGCGCTCTTTGCTGTAGAGGGTCATCACAAACTTTCTGTGGTCAGCATAAGCAGGATGGCATGATTATTATTGCAAGCAGAAAGCGCGCACACTCAGATTGTTATACTCGTCCTTACTTTAATGTCCTGGGAAAGCACAAGGCCAATACTGCGCTAGACACAAAACAGCTGGTATGGTTGACGTAGTAAATCGGCGGTGTGAAAAAGCTTGTTGTATGACCATACCGACTTTTAATCTTTTGGAGAAAAAAGTGCACGTTTTTGCGAAGCCCACCGAAACCCTGAAATGGTTAATGCTGTTGGCCCGAAGTGTAATAATATTAATTGTCAAAAAAGAGCACTATATGTTATAAAATGTCACGATGCTTCACACATAAAGATAAAGGTATGATAGCACAATCTTCACGTTTATGCATGATCTCAGATTGTAAAAAGCCTGCTACTCACGGACTTTCTAACCCAATTAGGTGCGAAAAACACTCCACAGATAATATGGTTGATCTAGTCCAAAAAATATGTTCTAATTGTGGATTACTTGATATCCTTTTACAGGATCAAAAGTGCGCTGATTGTAGCACTTATACTAAAGCGAAAGCAAGAGCACGTTTGGCAAAGCAACTTCGAGTGAAATATATTTTAGACGTGAACAATATTCTATACGAAGCATACGATTCCATTGTAGAAGATTGTGTGTGTTCAAAAAAGCGTTCAGACTTTGTCATTGATGCAGACACACATAAAGTTGTACTGGAAGTAGATGAGTATCAACACAAGAAAGGGGAATATAACTGTGAGGTAAAAAGAATGTGACGGATGAATTTCATAATAAAATTAATGAAGAAATCGTTCATCATAACATCATGTTGTAGCACAACCCGCTTTTATCATTCTAAGTAAACTTGCCCTTAACAATGCTACAAAAATTGGAGAGGCAAGCTTATCCGAGGTATATACGACGTACGCGCCTGAATTTACTTCCACACTTATATACTTCAGAGAAGCTATTTACGGCATACGGGTCTAATTTTACCTGTATACTTATTCTGTGGGATATTGCGCAAGCACTTGGCATCCCTACTCTCTTTATTCGCTATAATCCTGATAGTTACGAAATGTTCAACGGAATTACAAAAGATAGTAATGATAGGGAGAGAAAACAAGAATTGTTATATGCTTGAGCGATGCAGTAAAATCGCCATCTGCTGAAGAATTGTCGTGAGGAAACATGCTGACGAGAGAAAGTATCCTGAAAATGGAGGAAGTTTATTAAAAAAAGAACAGTTTAATAATAAGGATGATAATATCACTCTCCCTTCTACACAAAAGTTGCTAGGATCCAGAATTCCTTCGAGTTGTCTATCTGTTCTATGATGGATACGATAGCACTAAGTACAAGATAACGACTATATCAGAAGTTTGATTCAAGAATGAAATACATGAAAAAGCAGATAAAGCATTATGAATTTGTATAACTATTGTGAAATTGACCCAAACAAACATTTTGTTTCTGTCATGTTTTTCTGTATTTCTGTGATGCAATAAATTTTTTTTTTAAAATCATCATTAGTGAGAAGGTTATGAACAATTTTTTTCCTGAGATCTATAATCGAAAGAAGGGCGTACACTCGTTAAAATAGCATAACACATCAGTTTAGTAGTGATCGTTTAACGGACACATGTTTCCGATATCCTACTGCGCATTTTTCAACAGGTGAGAAAATGTCTCTAGCAATCTTTTTTTTTGCTTTGCATCACTATTTTCACTAACTCGGTTCACAATTTCTTAGCCACGGACTGGTATTTCATCCTACATAGTACCGAAGGTATCTACTGTACAAGTAAGACTGAGTATCGAATCTTACTAACGGAAGACGCCATCAAAAATCACGCAAGAATGTGAAGAGGGTTTTTGAAATTATAGTGTTTGCCGTGTTAAAAGATAGGGTATCGGATAGTGAAGAACCCGCAAATAAGAAGCGCCGTGTAGAAGAGATAATCAAGAAAAAATAATTATATAGGACACTAGTAGTCTAGTACTACGATCTTGTATCTATTTTTTCGCATATTTTAATAAAAAATTTTCTTGACAAATTTCGCTTATGGCCCGACGGCCCGTCAGGAAAAACACGTGATTTTTTTTGGCACACAAAAAGGGGTGCAATTGTTAGTGTGGCAGATAAGAAGTGAAATAAGTTTTTACCAACCAAAAATTTTTATATAATCTCTACGGAAAAATATTAAAAAAAAAATTCTGTTCCCAGAATACTTAATATACTTTATTAAAACAAAGTGAAGGCGTGACATAATTACGTAACTGAATTTTTTATGATGAAAAAAACTGTAATTGGCATGTGATATAAAATCTACAAATATTGTAACGTCTGCATACTCGCTGAATTCTTATACAAAATCCAGAATACTTATAAAAATGACTGAAAGGATAAATACTCCATGTAAAGCAAATGTATATTAATTCCAGATTGAACAGAATTTTGCGATATGTAACTATCATGAAATTTTTTTTCTTTAAGAAAAACAATAATAAAAAGATCATTGCTGTCCTAAACAAGTCTTTAGAAGACTGATCACCAAACACTGAGAAACATCAATCACGACAGGGGGATAGGGTAAGAGAAGAAAGGTAAAGAAAAGATGGGCAAAATTTTTAATACTAATTTTGTTGTCATTTTTAATCCAGATTTGAAAAATAACATTAAAATAATAAAGTAATATTTTGTCTATTTAATAAATCTTTATATTCTTTTTTAAATTTAGTAAGTTATGAAATAATCCATTAACCTTATTAAATTTAATCTTTTCTTTCAGATAATCGTTTACACTTTACATTAGTATAAGAATGATTAGAAACGTCATACATAATGTGTAAGAAACATGTGAATGATTTCATGTGACTGGAGAATCCCGTGACTGTATTATGATCGGCATAGGGTCGGCCGATCGGGTAAGTTTACTGTACTATATGAATACAATCCGCTTTAGAGACTGTGTAAAATCATGAAACAAAAAAAATGGTGCGACTATTGGTATGAGTAATTTGTCGTACAGTAGTATATCTTTAGTATAACATTAGTTAAATTTACCTGCCGTATAACAGGGGTAATTTTTCTATACTATCTAAGATAGTGAATACGAAGCCCCAAAAGGTTATATTAGCAATCCGCTGACAAAGTTCATGTAACTTCCATTGCATTATCATTTGTTACAAAGTACATTTTTCGCCTATATAAACAATAGCAAAAATGACAAACTACAAAAAAAAGAACAGACGAATATGAATATGTATCGACTAAATAATCTCTCTAATGAAACAATAGCAACAATAGGAAGCGTTATAAGCAATGCAACAGAAGAATTCGAAGAAGTATTAAACCAAATAGAAAATCAAGGAGACAAACAACAAAGAACTTATAACTTGAGGAAATATTATAGAACTATAAAACAGAAAATTAAACGCAAAGGAAATAAACCGAAACTCTTAATCTTACGTCAGAAAGCAAAAGCTTTATTTAAGAAATGAAAGAAATATGTTATCAAAATAAGATCACACCGGTAAAACGAAACAGAAGTTCATCGCAAAGAAAATCTATTACGGCGACAAAAAAACTCAAGAATAGATAGAAGGCACTAAAAATTATCGATATTATTTATTTTAATTTCGTATGTGCTTGTTGGGGTGTTATTACAAGTTATTAAGCTTTTGTTCAGACTTTCAAAATCTTCCTTTATTCTTATCTTCCCAAACACTTAATTGACTAACTTTACAATTTTATTTATTTGTCCGCAGTACGTAACTGTAATATTTTTTATTTTTTATTTATATTTATATTTGCAACATTTGCAACATTTGCAACAATAAAACTTTATGTATTATGCATGAGTTTGCCCAATAATATATATTTTCGTAGACCTTACTTTAAAGATACCATCCTACGAATTATTTAATCTTCGTTGTATTTTACCTTAAGATAATTAAACCAATTATTTGTTATAATTTTTTATCATGTTAATTAAAGGTCCACTATTGTTAATTCAATAACTGCGCGAATTCCTCCTTCATTCGTGTGTTTAATTCATAAAGTGCAATGCAGATATATTTATCATATATTTATCATTCGATCTTATCACATGATGTTAGGTATCTATTTTAGAAATATGGAATATATATTTATTATATATATTAATAGAATTTTTTTATAATCGTCGTTATAACTTTTAATAGTGTTTAACATTACGTGGTTTAAAATCTTTTAACGTTAACGTAAATGACGTAAGTCATATATTAAAAGCTAAAAAAAAAAGTTTAAAGTTTTAAATTTTCAAGTAATATTATTAATTTATTATATATGTAACTATAAAGATGAATAAGGATATATTGAGCTCGCGTTCATTTATTTACCCAATTTTATAATATCATAATGTATTTTTTCCACTTTTGTTGTTCAATTTATTCATGCAGCATATTGCCAATATCATTTTTATGAAAGTTTAATAAGATTCTAGGCGCAATACTAAGAAATTTATAATCTTCAACATTAAAAGTTTGTTGTTTTTTTCAATTATTCGTTGATTAATTTATTTATTTTATTCACTTATTTATTTGATTTCTTTTTTTAACTTTATTAAAAAGATGATTTGCTGTTACGTAATGATATATTACGTTCGCGTTTATTTATTTATAATATTACTATAATGTACTTTTTCCTCTTTTGTTGTTTAAGTTATTCATGCAGCGTGTTTCTAATATCATTTTTGTGAAAGTTCAACATTATTGATAAGATAGACGCATTATTATTACACTAATCCAATTTCTTGATGATTTTGACATTGATCGTTCATTACGTGTAGACAAAATTCCTATGAAAATTATTGTCCAGCTGACTGCAGCATTTTAAATATATTAAAAGTTTGTTGTGTTTTCAATTATTCATTGATTAATTTATTTACTTTTTATTATTTATCTATTTATTTACTTTTTATTTATTTATCTATTTATTTGCTTTTTTTTTTATCTATTTATTTGCTTTTTTTTTATCTATATATTTGCTTTTTTTTAAAAAACAAAACAAAGCGATTTATTATTTTGAATCAATTCAAGCAAAGCTATTACTTGATATGATAATTTAATTATTTTTTAGCCCATTAATTTATATAAAAAAATATTATAATAAAAAAATTTATTTTTTTATAAAAAAAAAAAAAGAAAAATTACATTTGGCATTTAGGTAATACGCTTCTAAGTTCTAACCATAAATGTATACTAATTTAATGAGTTTATAATAAATAAGATTACAACTTTATATGGTGTAACATTATACAATAGTAAATCATGCTAAATTTGAATGTATAGTTTTAAAAGGGCGTAAAGACTTGTTTTTTGTTTCTATTTGTTTATTATACCAATTTATTGTTTAGAGTTGATAAATATAGTAGATATTCTCTTTTTAACAAATTAAAATTTTATAATATTATGTCTACTATTCGAGAGGGATTAATTCATGCAACAATCAATAAAGCAATTACATTAATTGATTATAATAATTACGATAGTGTACACAAACAATTTGAATTTGTAAAACAAACGATTCTTGCTGATAATTCTCTTACAAATGATGAAAAAATTGAAGCAATAAGTTCATTTAATAAAGATTGTAATCGAGAAAAAATTGTTCGTAATGAAGGGACAAGAAGAATTTGTGAAACTTGTAACCAAAAATGTTTGGCTATATCATATTGTGAATATTGTGTCCAAAATTATTTAAAAACAAAATTTTCAAGTTGGTCATCTGGAAATAATAATATTGATAATTTAATACAAAAATGTCAAATTGAGTCACTTATGCCAGATATGATAGTTGAATGGATTCCATATAATAATTTACAAAATATTGAATGTCTAACCAAAGGTGGATTTTCTGAAATTTATACAGCAACTTGGATTAATGGAGGATATGAAGAATTGGATTCTGAGAATCATCAATTACAAAGATTTGGAACTCATCATGTAATACTAAAAGAGTTAGGAAATATTGAAAATGCAAGTCAAAATTGGTTTGAAGAGGTTTGTAATAAACTAATAATTTACTTTTAAAGGATTTAATGTTTAAATTATAATTTGAATTTAAAATTATTTTTTACAGGCTAAATCAAATTTAACTATAAGTAATAAACATCCATCAATTGTTCAATGTTTTGGTTTAACACAAAATCCATCAAATGAAAATTATATGCTTGTAATGAGAAAGAAAAATGCTAATTTAAGAGAATATTTACAACAAAATCATAATCAACTAATATGGGAAGAAAGAATTAAAATTGCTTTTATAATAATTAATGCACTTTATTATATTCATAAAGAGAATTCAATTCATAGAGATTTGCATTCTGGAAATATACTATTATATTCCAAATTTAATAATTATTGGTTTATTAGTGATCTTGGATTTTGTGGTCCAGCAGAAAAACCATCAACAAGTATATATGGAAATCTTCCTTACATAGCACCTGAAATTATTAATGGAAAAGAATATACTTTTAAATCTGATATTTATAGTATTGGCATGCTTTTGTGGGAAATTTCATCTGGACAACCACCATTTAATAATCATGAACATGATTATGATCTTGCACTTAATATTATTAATGGTATAAGACCAAAAATTATATCAGAAATTCCTTTGAAATATAAAAATTTAATGATACAATGTTGGAATGCTAATTCATTAGAAAGGCCTGATACTAATATGCTTTTAAGAGAAATAAGAGAAATTATGTTATATTATCATAATAACCCAAATGAATTACCTCAACTAAATGTAAATATAGATAAAAAAATAAACTATGAAAACAAAAGCAACAAATTATTTACAAGTAAAATTTATAAATTTGAAAATTTACCTGAACCAAAAAATGCAACAGAAGGTATAATTTATTAATATTTGTTAACTATATTTAATTTTCTCTGTTATTATTATTACTAATTCAATCATTTTTTTTTAATTTAAATAATAACAGAAGAACAAGAAGGTGATATGAATTTAATACTTATTCTTATTAAAAAACAATTAATCATTAACAAATTAAAAATATATCTGTTTATTTAATAGCATTTTATAGTAAATTATATGACTTTAATATTTCAAAAAATAGTAAGTGTTTTTAAGTTTATGTTTAATTATATGGTCTAGTGTAAATAATTATTCTATTTTTAGTTGATGATTTTGGTCAATCAAGTAATCAGAATAGTAAAAGAATAAATAATATTATTAAAGGTAATTACAAATATTCAGCCTATATTAAATAATTACTAACTAGTATTTTAATTTTAGCTAGTAGTGAAAGATTGTCCAAGGTATTTAAAAATTTACAGATAAATTCAAAAAGTGGTAAGTAAATTATTAAATAAATAAATACTCAAATTAGAGTTTATTTGTTTATTTATAAAAAATAAGTACTTATTAAATGTTATTTTATTGATAATAGTTGATATACAAAATAACAATTATAGAGATACAATATATCAGCCACAAACTGGTGATATTGATGGTAGGTAAACTATTATTTATTTATTAAAAATTTTTTATTAGACAATAACTAATTGTATATTATTTTTGTTTCATAGATGATGATGAATGTAATAATCCAAATCTTCATTCAGAAGAACAAGAATAATTGAAATTCCTAATGGTTTGTTTATTTTTTTTCAAAATTATATAAAACTATTTATATTAATATTTACTAATGCATTTATTTATATCATTTATTTTAATTTAGATGGATATTGAATTATTTTACAAATTAAATAAATTAGATTTATAAGTAATATCATTTATCTTAAGTGCTTAAATAATTTCAATTTCGAAAAAATAAAAAGTAGTAGAAATTTCTTAGTTTGTAATTTAAATAATTTTTTTTTTTTTTGCCATATTAAATTATCATTAAATAGTATGTTTTTATTTTACTTACGATTTATGCTATAATAACACTAATTATCACAATTTCAGCAATGGGTTTATTTGTTTATCTCGTGTAGTGGTCAATATGAGCATTAAAATTTTGCAAAATTGTGTAATTAGGGCTTTTATGCTAAGGGTACTAGTGCAAATCACAGTAAGATACAACATATGCTGTAATACAAATAAGAGTTTTTTTATATTTAAAAATCTATCTTGCTTGTTCATTGATCACCGCTAATAATTTTCACATTTATTTTGGCCAAAATTAAATTAAATTATTACTTTACTACCTCGTATGTATTAATGACAAAAAATACTTAATTGCCATCCGGATAAGATTGGCACTATCACTATACTGATAAACGTATTAGTAAATGTTGGGGAAATTTATTATGATTTTTTATCATTTTGAAATCTGAGCTGCGTTCGTAGATAAGTCATAAATATAAAATATAATTTTATTTATTTTACTGTATATGTACATATACCAATTAAGTATTTTGACAAATTTTCAAAGATTTTCTTAAAATATAAAAGGTGCTTTCTTATAAGCTCAAAAAATCAATTCTTCGAATTTATAATTATTTCTATGTACAGTAGATTCAGACTATTAGTAATTTTATTAAGTACCTAATTTATAAAAATAGTGACGATCTTATCCGGGTTGCCAATTAAAGGGTTGATGCAAGAAGCAGCTACCTCAAAAACTAATGTCTGCAACCCTATGTGCAATCATATGACGATATAAAATTTTTGTTCGAATGCACACAACTTTTTGAAATGATTAAAGATGGACGATAGGAACTTTTTACTAACCCTTTGAAAATCTGGAAATGCTCAAAAAATTAATTTTCTTAAAAACTTCAGTTAACTTCATACAAATCTTTTAATAATATATAACAATAAAAAGAATTTCTGTTGACTCATATATCATTGTCCCTCCCTTTTAGAATGACTTTTATTTCAATAAATTTCCATGAGCTTTAAATAACAACAATAACAATAAGATGGTTTTATTTGCGAAAAACTTATGTCTTGATTTCATGGGAGATATCTTTTCTGAGATTGAGATTAAATAAACCAAATAAAAATTGCATCATTACAGTGATAAACAAGTTGAAATATTGGAATATATTCAATTAAGGTGATTTATAAACTTTAAAAAGAATATTCAGACGATACCTAATGAAGATGATAAGATGACTGATGTCATATTATTCAAAAGCTGAGTTGAAATACAAGTTGTTATTGTTATTATTTAGAGTTAAAGATTTTTATTATTTTTGCATACATAAATACTAACTGAATAATAATTTCTTTTTGCTAATAAAAGAATGTTCATTTCTTTATTGTAAGTAGGAGGATGTACTGTACCTAAGTTATAATATAACATTTTAAAATATATTATCACTTAGCATAATATTCATCATTTTACTAACTTTTTAGCTGAATATCATAAAAATCTAACATAGATTACTTGAAAAATTTTTCGATTATTATTGTTAGGTCTAACGTAAAAATGAATTTTTAAGTTACTAACTCGCTATATCTTCAGTTGATTTTGATAAAAATTTTAATAAAGGTATAAACTCACCCAATTAACTATCCCACATTTAAATCTAGCGTAAAAATATTAGTATATTTATCCGACGTACTAAAAGAACTATGATCCAATCACAAGTTTATTTCCGGTAATTGTCGATGATAGATATTTTGTGATCAAAAATCTCTAGAATAGAGTTTCAGGCCATGTTCTATCTGCACCATAACAATTTTTATATTATTTTCATGTGATACCTTGGTTGGGAAGGACTTTATAATAAAAAGCTGGCTTAAAACTGAATAAATATCAGTCTCTTTTAAAGTAAAGAGCGCTTAAAGCGATATTTTGTGCAATACTAGACTGTCCAGAGAAGTAGATAATAATTTTTTTTTTAAATATACAGTAAACTGAGTAAAGTAATCTATATAAAAGGATTATTCATATTACAAACTAGGAAATGTATAAATTACCTTGACTTAGTATTTAAAGAATTTAGTATTATTAATAATTTAGGTTTGGATTATTATATACTTCAACTTCATACATAAAGTAATTAACAATTATTTTTTCATATTATCAATTGAACATTGTTTTTTTTAGTAAATCATTTTCCGAACATCTAAAAAATTTTAAAAAAAATTATATTTATATACTTCCAGTTTGACAATATTAAACTGATATATTTATATATTACATCATTATTTTAATGGTGTCGCCATTATTTAATTAAGGGATGAAATTAAAAAGATTTTTCTTTTAACTTTTTTTTAATATAACACTTATTGTGTATCGAATAAGTGATCAATAGTTTAAATGTAGGATTAATACCAAAAAGAGTTAGCACTGAAAGCTTTAAAAATCTCGTCTCTAATAAAATTTTCTGCAAAGTTGTAAAGTTTAAGGCGACACAACTGGTATTTATGGTTTACATACTATCTAAAATTGGCTTAGTGTGACCCGGTCAACTGTTTTTAAGTCAAAAAAATTTTTTGGCTAATAAAATTTAACATTAGTTACCAATCTGGTCACTCACTTAAAATTATATTAAAAAAATTTTTGTGCTGCGCATGATGTAATAAAATTTATCTATAATTATTTTTTCACAAATATTGTTTAAGTGTTCGATGAATTACATCAAATAATTTATTTTTTTATAAAATATAACGGTTGAATTAAATTTGGATGTTATGAGATTAGCAAATAGTGAACATCCACGTTTAGTAATTGAAGTAGCAGTTCTAGCGTTTCAAAGAGACGTCTGAGGTGGAAACAGGGCAGTAAAGATAAAGGAAAGCTTTCAGATATTGAATGTAATGTTTTATTTAGTCAAGATATACTGTATTTTTATTTTTCAACGTGACGATTACAAGAGCCAAAAATTCAAGATATACTTGTATACAGATAATACAATGCTAATTTATCACATGATATTAAACGCAATTCTTATTGGTCTATTATATATAAAAAAATTGGTACGATTTTAATGACCCGGCCGGGATATGTAGACCATAATTACCAGTTTGTACCGACTAAATGTGGGATATTTATTTGGGTGAGTTTTTAAAATTTTCCATTAGAACGAATAAAACTAACTAAATGTATAGTAAGCGATACATGAAATTTATTCTCATTTTAGATCTATAATATCTCGGAAATTTTTTAATTCGTTTTAACAATAATAATCGATTTTAAAAATTTCAATGCAATTTATCGATTTTCTATGTTGGGATAAGACTAACATTCATATTTTGCCCTTAATGAATAATAACACGAAATTATTGGCCTACGTAAAAATCTGATTAAAAATTTTAAAAGTACCAACAGATAAATTTTGCAAATATCATATTATAGCGCTGCATAAATCAAAAAAATCCCTTTACTTACAATATTTTGATAGCAAAAATAGGAAAAAAGAAACAGCCTTTGAATAATAATGATAACGGTTATCATGGAATTGATGATTAGGTATTGCCTGGAGATTTTTTTAAATTATTAATTAAACAAAGCTTTCTTTAATAATTTTAATTGAATACATTTCAAAGTAAAAATACTTCTTTGCTCTAAGCTTGTTTAGCAAAATAAATCAGGATTTATAATAAGCAGAATTAATTGACTCGTTTGGCTTAACAACATAGTATATCCATGATTAAATTATATATGATATATCAAACTCAGTTGATTAGGAGTTCTATTCGTGGTATTTTTACTTCAAATTAAATTCTGTCTATCATAGTAGCCTATTTTCAAGATCATTGATAAAAAAAAATAATTTCCTAATCATGTGATAAGGTCAAATAAAAAGCAATCTTACATAAATTTTCATATTTTTTAAAAAAATATCAATTGAAATTTCCTATTGTTCACATTAAAAGTTTCAATTATTAATTATTTATTTTTCTCTGTATTTTAATTTAACAAGTAAAAAATATTGATTTTAAATTTATTAATAAGTCATAATATATAAAAAAAAAATTATTTAAATTACAAACTAAGGAATGCATAAAATATTTTGCTACTCTAGCCTTAGTGTTTAAATAATTCAAAATAAAATATTCAATATTGTTTGTTTATAATTATAATTTTAAAATCCATCAAAAAAAAAATGCATATAAATAAACAACAATTAGTAATTAAAATATTATTATTTATAAAATATTAATATTAAGAAACTAACCATCAGGAATCTCAAATTCATCTTGTTCTTCCGAATGAAGGTTTGGATTATTATGTATTTCATCATCGTCTATAAAAATATAAAAAAGTATTTATTTAATTAAAATATTGCAAAATTAAAAATTTATAATAAATATTCTACTTACCAATAACTGGTCCTTTCACTTGTTGTATTGTTTCTTTTTTATAATCTTTTTGAATTTCTATATTTTTTTAAATAAAATAAATAAAATTTATCAAATAAATATTGCATAAACAATAAACTAAGATTTAGATTTATTTTACTTACCATTCTTGGAATTTATTTTTAAAGTTTTAAATACTTTAGACAAACTTTTACTGCTGGCTATAATTGAGATAAATTTGTATTATTATTTCAAAAATTTTTGGATATATAAATAAATTACCTTTAAAAATACTATTCATTTTTGATGTTTTATTAATCTTTTGATCGTTTGAATTATTAAAATCTTCAACTAAAAATGAAAATTTGGTTAATAAATATTTCATCAAATGAAATTTTAATAAATACTTACTATTATCAGGAATACTAAAGTCATATGTTTTACTATGAAATGCTATTTAAAATGGTTAAAAAATTATTATAATAGTTAAGAAATAGTAATAAAAAATATTAACCTTCTTGTCCTTCTATAAACATTTAAATTAAAAAAAGAAATTAGTAATGTCATATCTTATAATCAATAAACAAAAAAATCTTATAAACAATACCTTCTGTTGCATTCTTTGGTTCAGGTAAATTTTCAAATTGATGAATTTTGCTTGTAAATAATATGCTACTACTTGTATAATTTGTACTAGTTTTTGTTTCAAAATTACTTTTTGCTTTTGATTGAAATAATTCATTTGGCATATTTTGATATGATAGATGAATTTCTCTCATTTTTCTCCGAAGAGATAAAGCATCAGGTCTTTTTAATGAATCAGCATCCCAACATTGTACCATTAAATTTTTATAATCTAAAGGAATATTTAACATAATTTCTGGTCTCATACCATTAATTATATCCATTGCAAGATTATAATCATCATGATTATAATTAATAAATGGTGGTTGTCCAGATAAAATTTCCCACATAAGTATTGCAACACTATAAATATCAGATTTAAAAGTATATCCTTTTCCATTAATAACTTCTGGTGCTATATAGGGAAGATTTCCATATATACTTTTTGATGATTTATCAGCAGGTCCACAAAATCCAAGATCACTAATAAACCATCCATCATTAAATTGTGAATATAATATATTTCCAGAGTGCAAATCTCTATGAATTGCCTTCTCTTTATGAATCCAATATAGTGCATTAGTAATTTCAAAAGTAATTCTAATTCTTTCTTTCCATGTGAGTCGTTCATTATTTTGTTGTAAATATTTTCTTAAATCCATATCCAATTTCATCATTACAAGCATATAATTCCCATTTGATGGATTTTGTGTCATTCCATAACATCGAACAATGTCTGGCCATTTATTATTTATAGTTAAATGTGATTTAGCCTGTAAATATAAAAACTTTTATTGTAAAACAAAAAATTGGCTAATTTTATAAATACATTTAGAATACAAACCTCTTCAAACCAACTTTGATTTGCACTTTCAACATTTTCTAATTTTTTGAGTACTACTTCATGACCTCCCATTCTTTTTAATTGTTGTTTTTTAGAATCCCATTCTTCATAACATCCATTAACCCAATCTGCAGTATAAATTTCGGAGAATCCTCCTTTTGTAAGATATTTAATATTTTCTAAATTACTATATGAAATCCATTCAATTATCACATTTGGTCTAGTTGTTTCCAATTGACATTGCTGTATTAAATTATCAATATCATCATTTCCAGATGTCCAATGTGAAAATTTTCCTTTTAAATAATTTCGAATACAATATTCACAATATAATGTAGCTAAACATTCTTGATTGCAATTTTCACAAATTCTTTTTGTTCCCGTATTTTGAAGAATTTTATCTCGGTCGTAAGATTTAGTTATATATTTTATTGCAAAAGTTTTTTCATCATCTGTAAGAAGTTTATCAGCAAGAATTGTTTGTTTTTCAAATTCATGTTGTTTGTGAATATCAGTGTGAATATTATAATCAATTAACGAATATGCTCTATTAACTGTTGCATAAACTAATTCATATCGAATGGTAGACATAATGCAATTTAATTACAAAAGTTTAAAAAGAAAAATTTTATTGTTGATATAAAAAAAAAAAAAATAAGTATATGAACTGGGAAAAGAATTTTTGGACAACGAAATTTAAGTTTCAAAAGATTCCCGAATAGTGTAACCATAAATTCGAATTTTTAGTATGATCAGCAGAATAATGTCATGTGACAATTACACAATTAAAGTTCAAAGATAAACAAAATAATATATTTTTAGATATGCTTGTTGATCATCCCTATAAATAATTATTTTTTTTTAAAAAAAAAAACTAAAAATAGAAGATAGCGTGATGAAAAATTTAAAAATAACATTGACAGTAGTGGTGATAGTGATACATGAATTTTTTTTTTTTTATACATGGAAAAATTTCTTGTAAAAAAAAGCTTTAAAATTAGTAAATAAAATAAAAATAAATTATATTATATGAAGCAGAATAAATGAATACTTTCGTATTATTTGAGATTATAATATTTCTACATTACTATCAAGTTTTATTGAAATTCTCACTCTATAATGAGTTAAGAAAAGTATCAAACAAAATAAATTAAGAACCTCATACTGACCTTTTTGAGTAAAATCAAGTCTTATTGTAAAATATACAAACATTATAACATTAAACTCAATTTCTTATAAGCCTGATTTTTATAAACAACTTAGCTTGTTTTAAACCAAAACTATATTGAACTTATTAATAAATTAATATTTTTCGTTTCATTATAAATTGCAATTCTTTTTTTTATAATTCATACATAATTACTAGGAAACAGAAACTGTTGGAGCATCCGAAGCATTATAATCATGATCAATTATTACTTATCACAAAAAATTGAAATTGTCCACAAAAAATATGTATTGTTAAAGTTAAAAATAATGTATTGCTAAAAAATGTATAGTTAAAAGATGCAGTTATAAATAAAAATATTTATTACTACCACTTTAAAAAGCCAATGATATTTATTATTATAATTTATAATTCGTTGCAAAAATTAATATGTAACATTTATATTTTGTTTCTACACAAGCGTTACGTCTGATTCTAAAATCCCATTGGCCATAGCATAATTTGTTGTTTTTGTTACTACGTTATTACTGTAATCGTTTCATAAATTTTTATTGGCCATACACTAGCGTGACGGACAGACATTGCATGAGTAGAATGGAAAGTCCTTCGCTAACGCTTTGGATAATAAACTCAGAAACAGGAAATCGTATACTAGTACGACAGTATAAGCACATTTCATATGATTGCATTTCATTTATAATGATTTAATAGTAAATTGTTCATTAACTCGTTAACTAATTCATTTATTTTTGCATGACAGGCATTCTACGATTTCTGTAAAATTAAACTTAAACGCTTGTCAGCGACTGGTTTGATCAGGTTTAAATCAAATTTACTGTCAAGATAATTATTTATAAAATAATAATAAAATGAAACAATCTTTATTACAAATATTTAATGACTCTACGTTCATCTACCAATTATATCATTTGGCAATAAACTAGGATAACGGAAGGCGTCATTAAGTCCGAAGTAGTGATTAAATTACGGAATCTGTCATCTAAGGAACATAGGTTCAGTTTCTAGGATGAGCGGAATTATTGGGAATTACACGGACATCTGGACATGACGTCATCAAGCGTAGAAGTATATAGTCCTTCGTTACGCTTCAGACTAACAAGGTGTTACTATAAAAAATTAATTGTAATTTAAAATGATACATTTGATTTATGAAAATATTTTATGCTCTTAGTTATTTAAATAACAAAAAAAAAGAAAGTTTAGTTTATCATTACAGGATTTAAGTTCTACAATTCAAATTTTTCAACCTCTCTTTAAAAAAGAGAAGAAATCAAAAATTTTTAAATGGTTGAACTCATGATTGTAGTGATAAATATTTTCTGTCTCGATGTTATTTTATTTTATTTAGCTTTAATATTCACATTAGTGTTTATTTTTTTTTATTTAAATTCAATTTAAAATATATTATAGGAAAACGTATTAAAAAATAATATTTTATATGATTTTTTATTAGACTTCTCATTATTTAGAAGAAAAATAATTTAATAGGAATTGGAATCCATGTTATTTTTAGAACTTAAATTCGCGTTTTGTTTTCATATAAATCAATTATAATCTCCATACAAAATAATGAATTTATAATAAATATGATATCTATTTTTAGATTAATTTATTTCCTAAATTAGGGCTAACACTTTTTTTTTAGACGTTATTTTAAAAATCACTTCTTTCGATAGCTGAAATAGAGCGATGAAACTCAAGATGAAAGCAAAACTACGAGTTATTAAATATTCATGTTGTTAATTTCATTGTTGCTGATGAATTTATGAAATTCATTTGATTTACTATTAAGTTTTTATAAATAAATACGTAAAGCAAGTTTAAATATAAAAGGATGGTAAAGCAAAGTACCATCTATATTAATTTTAAAAAAAATTGTCATGCTTAGATTACTCTGTATAAATAATTTAATTTGATTGGCCTTAAGAATGTACACATGACTGCGGTAGCCAATCTTTTTCCGGTTAATTAAATTTTAATCGGATTTTTTTTTTCATTCTGATAATACTAAAAAAAAAAGTATACTTTTTCTTATTAATTGTATTTCGTTTGCGATCATTTCCCATCAGATCGATACTGTGGTGTTACGGCTTTTCGATTTTTTTGTTTAGTTGATATTGTTTCCCGATTAATAAGTTTGTACGGAATTTTTTTTTTTTTTTGTAAAAATTTTTTTTTAGTGGAAACTTTTTTTTGATTAGTGAGATTTTTTTGGTCAATGATATTGTTTCCTGACTAATAAGATCACACGAAAATTTTCTTTTAATGTTTTTTAGTGAATTTTTTTAGTAAGATTTTGCTTTTAATTATATAGATTGCATAATAATATTATGATTTTGTAATTGAAGCAATTGAAGCTATAATAAATTTTTTAATAAATAAAAAATAAATATAAATAAGAGATACTTTCATGACATTTCAAATATTTGTTTATTAATATAATACATACTTCATATCAGTGTATCAAGGTACTCATAATATGTGATACAAAACAATCAAATACCAAAAAATATTTAACATATCAATAATCGTATTTAATACGTTATTAAACGTTTATTATATAATTATGTATGAATCAAGTGATTTTATTTCTTTTTTTTTTTGTATGAGAAATTATAACTAAATAAAGTTTTATTTTACAATATTTCATTCAAAAAAAAAAAAAATGTATATGGTATACAGATTATAAAAAATTATTCTGTAACCCTGATTCATCTTCTATGTTGAAATGTTTAAGATACTTCCACTAGTTGATCATGTGCTATCTTAACTAAACCAAAAATAATAGAAGTCGACGCAATCATTATGCATTTTATCTTTCAATAAAGTACTTCAAAATTTTTAAACGAACTTTTCTATAGTATTTATAATAAATTCTTAAAATTCTATGAATAAATTTGAAAATACTTTCTGTATCACTAACAGAAAGTTCTATCATTTTTCTAAACTCTTAATAAAGGTATCATATAAATATAAATAAAAGACGTTCAAACTTTCTAAATTCATTATCGTTATCAATACCTGTTTATAACATATTATAACATACAAGTAATAATTAATATAATAAAATGGAACTTGTAGATATAAATGATGAAAATTCTTTTGATTCAGCAACAAAATTAAATCTAGTCCTATACTTATTAAATTTATTTCTGTTAATAGTGAAGATAAAAATTGTATTTATTGTGGAAAAAGAATATATCAAGACGCTTTTCGTTAAAACACAAAAATATTGTAAAAAATGTTTTATTACTCTATATATATTTGTTTACTAAATGGATTTGGAATGTAATAAACATGAAATAAAGAAGGAGAAAATAATACGAAATATTTCAAAAGTTCTGTAGAAATGTATCAGACTATTATCAGACTGTCAAAATATTGTAAGAAATGTCTTAAACTTTATACAAATATTATTTTTGGACTTAGAGGTCAATCTCAATGTAAAAAAATGTAAAAAAATATTACTTATTATAAACAACAATGAAGATAATGATTTAGTAGACGCCTTTAATGATAACTTAAATTTAGATGATACTGTAAATCTTACGAATTCTATAAGCGTTATGCAATATTCTTAACCATCACACGGATATATTAAGAATATGGTGTTATATATAAAGCAACTTGGTTAAGAAATAATGAAACTGTCATATTAAAAAGATTTGAAATTCCAAAAATATTGGTCAATGAGGTAAATACTTTAGATACTTTTCTGAACTGAATAATTTCTTAATAAATAAATTTAATACTTAAATTAATTTAAACTTAAATTTAATAGTTAAAATCATTACAACAAATGTTTTACTGAAAAATATTATAGTCGTCAGAAGGAGATTTACAAAATAATTTTACAAAAATTAATTGGAATGAAAAATTATTTATTTTACGACAAATTTCAAAGAGGTATTTATATTTTGAGTAAATATTCAAATTTGATTATTAATCATTTTAGTGACATAAATAATGATCGAAATCATCAATGAACTTAGATACAAATAACATTTCGAATAATGAAATATATGGAGTAATACCTAAATTCTTGATGGAGAACAACCTAAAATTACACCAGAATGTTACGCTAATTTAATGAAAAGTCGTTGATATTGCGGGAACTTAAAACCTTTTGCTAATTTTGAACATGACATTATCTAACACCAATATAAAAAGTACCGTGCGATCTCGATCGGATTCTTCAGTCTACCTCTTTCCAAAAGCGGCAACGTTTGGATCAAACATTTGGTTCTAGATAATACCAAAAAAATACAATAGATGAGTCAGATCTTCCATGACGAACTAGAAGGTCATCAACAGGATATCTAGAAGGTGTCCTGCATAGTCATGGCTGATACGTTAGCAAGAACATCTAAAAGGTGCCTTTTAATTTCATTTCACCACAACGATCTAGAAGGTCATCAACAAAGCTTCTGGAAGGTGCCCTGCATAGTCATGGCGCGCAAAGCAACTTGCTAGCCTGTTTCACTTCAAAATTAAAACAGCTCTTTTTGTTATTTGTAATTTTTTCCAGACTTTTTTTTAAGCCAGGTATTCTCTTCATGAAAAATATTATTAAAATCACCTTGTTGTTTTCAAAATTCATAATATCTGGGAATGGACCAATAATTATGTGGCGTGTTGAATATGTGAGATTTGTAGTTATGGGACCCATACTTTCAAGTAGTTTAACGTGACAAAATTTTCACGCGATCCAAGCCACGCAAAAAATAATTTCTGACCATCACATGATATTAATCATGTGAGTCACATGATTCTGATCGTTACTCAAAAAATTTTTTGATGCAAGTGAACGAAGCTTTATCAATGATTTTTCAGAATCAGAAAATGATAGAGATAACAAGAGAAACAAATGATGCTATCAAAGTGGGGAGTACGCGGATTCTAGGCCATTTAATGCAAGTCCCAGGCTCCCAGCATCATATTATTTCTTTGCTCTCTTACTTTTTAGAAAAATATCTATAGCTAATTCGTTTTTATTTCTAACTATGTAACTCTCACTTCTACACTTCCACACTCTTTTACTACACCAGATTTCTGAAATAAATTATTGATAGATAAAATTCTGTAAATATAGGATATACAATAAAAACATTAAGTTCCGCACGAGAACTTTCTCGAGATCAAGGACCTATAACATAAATTCGGGAGTGAGGTAAAAAACCAAGCATTATTTCCGATTCATACTCAAAACTACGATTCATTTTTACAAAATTTCAACATCAATGTAGACAAACCAATGCGTTGATTACTGATAAATGTGTTGTCTTCGTAAAACCACACCAATCTGTATTAGCATAAAACAATACAAAGTTTCACATGCACGTAATTCTATGTGCAAGCGTTTGAAATAAAGTTTACCCATTTCGGTATTTTAAAATATTAATCGATCTAAATAGAATTGTTTACAACTTTTGTTTAAATTTGTGTTAGTTATTAATCTCAAATAAATAAGAACATCCTTCTTGATTTACATTTATCGTTAACTTATTATTTAATATAATTTTTATTTAGACATACAAAATATTCATAAAAAAATAGGAACAATGCAACAAGTGAAAGTATCATTTAATGTAAGTAAAATTTTTACTACAAATTTTTAATTTTGCAATGTTTAAATTAAATATTTTTGTCCTTTTAAAGATAATAATTTAATCCAAATCTTCATTCAGAAGATCAAGATAAATTTGAGATTCCAGATGGTTAGTTTCTTAAATATAAATAGTAGAAATTAGCAAATTAAAAATATTATTTATACAATATTAATATTATTTATATATATTTTTTAGATGATTTTAAAATCATAATCATAAACAAGCAATATTAAAAGTTCCTTAGTTTGTGATTTAAATAATTTAAAATATATATTATAGTTACCAAATAAATTTAAAATCAATATTTTTTACTTGTAAAATAATCTACATGTTAAAAAACTAATTTTATTAAAAACATGAAAATTTTGTTTCACCGCATGATTTATGAAAAACTTTTTATTAATAATCTTGATAAAAGGTAATGACGTAACGGAAACTTAATTTCAGACAAACTAAGACAAGCTTTTAAGTACCAAATATTAAATCAAATTGTGTTAATTTAAATCTGCTTACAAGTATTATAAATTCTGATTTTATACTGTGATAAACAAGCTTGGGCTAACGAAGTATGTTTGAACTTTGGAATATATTCAATTAGGAAGCTTGATTATTAAACTTTAAAAAGATATTTTCAGACGGTACACAATAAAGTTGACTAAATATCGTTAATTCGTTATTATTCAAATGCTGAATTTAAGCTCAAGTTATTATTTAGAGTTGAAAATTTTTTATTATTTTTGTATACATGAATTCCAATAACGAATAATAATTCATTTTGTTAAAAAATGTTCGTTTCCTTTTAGTAAGTTAGAATAAATTGTAATATAACAAATTTAAAATTATATTATCGATCGGTGTTTTGAATTAAAAATATTCATCATTTTTTAACTGAGCATTAGTTAGTGTCATATAAAAATCTAACATAGATTACTTGAAATTTTTTTTTAATATCGATTATTATTGTTGAAACAATTTAGGAAAAAATTTAAGATCTAACGTAAAAATGAAATTTCATACTTTACTAACTCATTATATCTTCGGTTGTTTTTGAAAGAAATTTTAAAAAAATATATAAACTCACTAATTAATTATCCCACATTTATGGTAATAAACTTAGCGTAAAAGTATTAGATAAATAAAATTTATTTATCCGATGTACTAAAAAGAATTTATGATCCAGTCACAAGTTTATTTCCGGTAATAAGATAGGTTGTTGAATTTTTTTATATTAGTTTTTACCAATATTTTTGTGATCAAGAATTTCCGAATAAAGAGTTCCAGGTCACTTTCTATCTGCACCGTAACAACTTTCATATTATTTTCATGTGATGCCTTGGCTGGGAGTGACTTGGATTAAAACTGAATAAATATCCGTGTCTTGTTTATTTTGAATCGTTAACCTAATATAAAGTATATAATTAAATATATGAATTTTCTAAGGGTTTTTCATTATTTAACACCGACCGCTAAAACGGGGAATGGGAGCACCAATTCCGATTTTGCATGGCAGGACTGCCAGGTTACAACAAGACAGAAGATTAGGAACTTTGCAAAGTTGATCAGGACATCTACCACGACAAAACTTAGCACGACACTTTGCAATAAGAGAGACGCTATATTTCTTAGCAAGAGAGATAAGAATAGCAGGCAAAAACTTTGGTTTCAACATCTTTTACATCATTCCCTTAACGTTTTACCAAATGATCGTCAAGTGCTAAAGTAACAGCAGTAAAAATAATCAAGATGAAGAAAAGGTAAAAACTTGAATTTCATTTTGATTTTTCTGTTAACTTTTTTAATGCGGCTGCATAAATTGGTGGTAATTCTTCTAAAACCTTATTGCTTAAATCCACAAATAGTAATACTCCCTTTGTTTTATCAATTGAATTTGAAATATCAAGATAAAAAATTCACCTGAAATATGATCACGAATGTCATACCACCAAAATATACTAGAATATAATTGGTATTTAAACGCGCGCAGACAGACAAGAATCCAGAATGGAGTATATCTAATCATTTGTATAAGATGTCATTTTGTACTTATAAATATTAATTTCCCGAAATTGAATATAAAAATACTACATATGGTTGACCAAATTACGAATTAATTTTATATGTTTTAATTAAATACTTTTTATCCTTTGATGAAACATACTAGAAAACGGAAACCATTATCATTCCTGAATCGCAGTTATCATTGCACATCATCACGTGTCACTAATAATTAGGTAATGATCACATAATCATCAATGTTGATTCTAAAATTTCATTGAATATACACACGGCGACCACGGCGTGACAGTACAGTATTTGAAAGTTTCAAGTACCGAGTTGAAAGAAAATCTTGCTAAATAAAATCATGTATCAAAAAATTTGATTGGTGTTTACACACGTGCGGGCAGACAGATAGAAAATCTGGTTTAGAGGGTATCTGAAGTAGAGGTCTGCATCGACCACTATTTTACAACCCGTCCCAGCCCGCACTTGGAAATTAACATAAAATGCCCGGCCCGACCCGGACCCGGACTTTTATTATATCATTTTGTTGTAAAAACAAAAAAATCGGCCAACTTAATTTTGGCCAGTTTAATTTCGGCTGGAATTAAGACGATTTTGGCCAGAATTATGAAAATCCGGTTTAACGAAAATTCATGTGCCGGCCCGGATCCGGCCCGGGTGAATTTTGAATAAAGTTTGCCAGCCCAAACCCGGATCCAGGTCCGGGCCGGGTTAGGGTTTCTGGGTTCCGGGTCCCGTTTGAAGACCTCTAATCTGAAGTGTCCAACGCTTACGCTTCAGACAATAATCCAAACCCTCGATCAAGATGAATTCATAGATTCCTGATGGTTAGTTTCTTAATATTTTTTTTTATCATTGTTCAAATAATATTATAATTATCAATTTAAACATTTCAGGTTATTTAACATTCATATGTAGATTTTTTATGTTAGGATGAGACTTTAATATTCATACTACTTTGCCTTTAAGGAACAATAGCATGAAATTATTAGTTTAAAATTTATAAAAGTAACAACTGATAATATATTGCAAATATCATATAACTTAAATCAAAAAATCCCTTAACTTACAATAAAGAAACAAACATTCTTTTGGCAAAAAAAAAGAGAATTCAAATAATTGTGATATTAAAGTTCATGTGTGACTCAAATAATAATAAATTATAACTCCAATAATAACTTGATGCTTCAACACAACATTTGAATAATAACGTCAACAGTAGTATGATTACTTCAAGTTTTGTTTAGTAAAATAAATTGGGATTTATAATAAGCTCGTTTGAATAACTACATAATATATCCATGCTTAACTCATATATCAAACTCAATTGCTTGGAAAATCTATTAGTGTGGTATTTTTACTCCAAAAATAAATTTTAGTCACATCAGATTACTGATAAAAAAAAATAATTTCGTAATCAATGTGATAAGTAGGGTTGGATTAGTCCGGTCCGGTCCGGTCCCAAAAAGACCGGTCTTTCAACCTGGACCGGACTGGACCGGGACCGGACCAATTTAAACTTAAGAAATTTGTCCCTATGATTTTAAGCTTCTAAATTACGCAACGTTTTTTATTAAACAGTTAATAAACGTTGCGAAACGTTTTTTAACATGTAATTTAACAAATGAAAAAACGTTTCGCAACGTTTTTTATTAAAACAGTTAAAGAGCGTTGCGAAACGTTTTTTAACATGCAATTTAACAATAAAAAACGTTTCGCAACGTTTTTTTATTAAAACAGTCAAAAAACATTGCGAAACGTTTTTTGACATATAATTTAACAAATAAAAAACGTTTCGCAACGTTTTTTTAATTATTTTAACAAAAAACGTTGCGAAAACGTTTTTTATTAAGTAATTTAATAAAATAAAACGATTTCTCACGTTTTTTAATTAATTTAATGAGTCATTTTTATTGGATATTAATCATATAGATCGGTCCCCGGTCCCAAGACCGACGCAGGACCGGTCTTTGCTAGGACCGATCCAACCCTAGTGATAAGGTAAAATAAAAAGCAGTAAAGTTTCGATAGCACGTCCATAAAATTTCATGTTTTAAAAAAATGTCGATCGACATTTCCTGTTATTTGCACATTATTAAAAGTTTCGATTATTAATTATTTTTTTTTCTCTGTGTTTTTAATTTAACAAGTAAAAAACTAGTGATTTTAAATTTATTAATAGAAAAATTATTTAAATTACAAACTAAGGATGCAAAAATATTTTGCTACTCTAGCCTTAGTGTTTAAATAATTCAAAATAAAATATTCAATATTGTTTGTTTATAATTTTAAAATCCATCTAAAAAAAAAAAATGCATATAAATAAACAACAATTAGTAATTAAAATATTATTATTTATAAAATATTAATATTAAGAAACTAACCATCAGGAATCTCAAATTCATCTTGTTCTTCCGAATGAAGGTTTGGATTATTATGTATTTCATCATCATCTATAAAAATATAAAAAAGTACTTATTTAATTAAAATATTGCAAAATTAAAAATTTATAACAAATATTCTACTTACCAATACAAGGTCCTTTCACATGTTGTATTGTTTCTTTTTTATAATTATAATTATTTTGAATTTCTATATTTTTTAAATAAAACAAATAAAATTTTATTGAATAAATATTGCTTAAACAAGAAATTAAGATTTAAATTTATTTTACATACCATTCTTGGAATTTATTTTTAACGTTTTAAATATTTTAGACAAACTTTTACTGCTGGCTATAATTGAGATAAATTTGTATATTATTTCAAAAATTTTGAATATATAAATAAATTACTACCTTTAAAAATACTATTCATTTTTGATGTTTTATTAATCTTCTGATCGTTTGAATTATTAAAATCTTCAACTAAAAAACGAAAATCTGTTTAATAAATAATTCATCAAATGAAATTTTAATAAATACTTACTATTATCAGGAATACTAAAGTCATATGTTTTACTATGAAATGCTATTTCAAAATGGTTAAAAAATTATTATAATAGTTAAAAAATAGTAATAAAAAATATTAACCTTCTTGTCCTTTTATAAACATTAAATTAAAAAAGAAATTAGTAATGTCATATCTTAATCAATAAACAAAAAAATTTTATAAACAATACCTTCTATTGCATTCTTTGGTTCAGGTAAATTTTCAAATTGATGAATTTTGCTTGTAAATAATCTGCTACTACTCATATAATTTGTATTAGTTTTTGTTTCAAAATTACTTTTTGCTTTTGATTGAAATAATTCATTTGGCATATTTTGATATGATAAATGAATTTCTCCTATTTTATTCAGAAGGGATTCAATATCAAGTCTTTTTAATGGATCAGCATCCCAACATTGTACCATTAAACTTTTATATTCTAAAGGAATATCTGACATAATTTTTGGTCTCATACCATTAATTATATCCATTGCAAGATTATAATCATCATGCTTATAATCAATAAATGGTGAATATCCAGATGAAATTTCCCACATAAGTATTGCAACACTATAAATATCAGATTTAAAAGTATATCCTTTTCCATTAATAACTTCTGGTGCTATATAGGGAAGATTTCCATATATACTTTTTGACGATTTATCAGCAGGTCCACAAAATCCAAGATCACTAATATACCATCTATCATTAAATTGTGAAAATAATATATTTCCAGAGTGCAAATCTCTATGAATTGCCTTCTCATCATGAATCCAATATAGTGCATTAGTTATTTCAAAAGTAATTTTAATTCTTTCTTTCCATGTAAGTCGTTCATTATTTTGTTGTAAATATTTTCTTAAATCCATATCCATTTTCATCATTACAAGCATATAATTCCCATTTGATGGAGTTTGTGTCATTCCATAACATCGGACAATTTCTGTACATTCATTATTCATAGTTAAATGTGATTTAGCCTGTAAATATAAAATTTTTTATTGTAAAACAAACAAATGGCTAATTTATGAATACATTTAGAATACAAACCTCTTCAAACCAACTTTGATTTGCACTTTCAACATTTTCTAATTTTTTGAGTACTACACCTGCTACAAAGTTTTGTGTTCCAGGTCTTTCAATTTTTTTCAATAGTTGTTTTTTAGAATCCCATTCATCATAATTTCCACCAATCCAATCTGCAGTATAAATTTCGGAGAATCCACCTTTTGTAAGATATTTAATATTTTTTAAATTATTATATGGAATCCATTCAACTATTGTATTTGGCATAAGTGATTCCATTTGACATTTCTGTATTAAATTATCAATATTATCATTTCCAGATGTCCAATGTGAAAATTCTTCTTTTAAATAATTACGAATACAATATTCACAATATAATGTAGCTAAGCATTTTTGATTGCAATTTTCACAAATTCTTTTTGTTCCTGTATTTTGAAGAATTTTATCTCGGTCGTAAGCTTTAGTTATATGTTTTATTGCTTCATCTTTTTCATCATCTGTAAGAAGTTTATCAGCAAGAATTGTTTGTTTTTGAAATTCATGTCGTTTGTGAGTATCAGTGTGAATATTATAATTAATTAACGAATATGCTCTTTGAACTGTTGCACTAACTAATTCATATCGAATGGTAGACATAATGCAATTTAATTAAAAAAGTTTAAAAAGAAAATTTTTATTGGTATTAAAAAAAAAAAATAAGTAAATGAACTGGGAAAGGAATTTTTGACGTGTTTATTTTATTTATTTATTTTTATTTTATTACTAAAAGAGTAGTACTCCCAAAACTATTACAAAATAAGAGTAAAACATCATTTACATGATGGTACAAATAGGCTAGTATAGAATTTTGGAAATTAATCCCCTACGGGACCCCACCCTTCGAACAATACTATTCAAACTACTAGAACTACGCTAATACTTCGAATGGGGAAAAGAAAAAAATAAAACCTAAAGACCCATCCGTAACGAGAGAACCTAAAACAATTCAAACTAAAAAATAAGAATCCGTATTTTTCTTTCGACCAAGGTCGCCACTTGTAAATACTGTAAGAAGTGGAATGTTTCACTCTATTTTAAGTTGTTTTTTGTTAAAATATATATATATAAAAAAAATTAGATGAAATAAAATGTAGATTAAACTACTTGATAAAGGTATTTAACTCCTCATGTATCAAAATTACATATGAATAAAAAATTTTTCTGAATTAGTTGACGGTCCAGCTACTGTGGAGTTGTCTAATGTATCAGTAGAAGGACGAGGACGTTTGTTAGGATGTGATAAATTGTTGGAAATTGTATTAGTAAATCGAGTTGAATCGTGTTTGTTGGGTCGATGTTCTAAAATTTTAGTATCATCTGATAAGTCGTCTTGACGAGTAAGAGAATTGAATGTAAATTGTTTCAAAAATTTAGATAAATTTTTGTTAAGATTACGCTGTTTTCTTTCATTATTGATATGATCGGGGTGATTCTTGTCTTAAATATGACGGCGTATATATTCATCATAGCAATTAAATACAGTTGTAAGTATAAATGGAACTCGTAAACGTGATCCTAAATGTTTGCGACTTGTACCATAATAAGCGGCCCTTGCATTATTATTTTGTTCACGTAAATTCCATTCGGCTAGAGCTTCAGCCTGGAGTTGGCGATCCTGTTCATCGAAACGTTGTTGTCTTCTGATTCTCTTTTCTAAATTGTACATATAAGTGAACCACTGTCTAGAACCAGGTGGAATATAAGTATCACCTTCTTCAGTCAAAATGTAAATAGGTTCTTTTGGGATAATATCTCGGTATTTTAACGGGATAAAAATGTTAGGAATAGGATTATATTCTTCAACCCAAGGAATCAAATAATCGAATGATAGTAAAGTAGAAGAAATGTGAATACGAGCCCCAAGATGATTCACATTCGCCTTGATTGTAATAGCGTGTTGGGAATTGTTTATATAAAAAGGTATAAAAAATTGGTAGTTGTCAGCATTCGGAGCAATGTTGTCCTTTTTGTATAATAAATGTTTGATTGGTTTGTTGATATACTGTGATTTAACGAATAGGAATCGGTATTTTCTTCCCATAGCCAAATAATCTGAGTGTTGAGCGGTACGTCCAGGAGGTAATTTCATCTTATTGAATATGCGACGACAAGCGCGATTAAAACGAATTTCTTGTTTTTTCCGTGTACGAAGATTAGGACTTGGAATCTTTTCAAAGTTGGATAGTCTTTTTCTGTACATGTGTTTGTTGTGAAATTTCAGGACCGATACATTGTCCTGAGCATGGTAAGAAGAAATAAAGGATATACCCATTCTTTTAGAGAAAATATGTTTTGGTCGTCCAGCTAACCATCTAAAATACAACAGGTTAGCATGTGAAGTTTTACTATTAGTAAAATCAGGCGTGATATCTTTATCATTGTGTTCAGGTTTGGGTTTAATATTATGAAAAATCTGTTCTTTAAAAAATTGTGGTTGGTGATTGACGCAAGCACGTCTATCACGTGACATAATAAAAGGAGCAGGAATTCTACATTTGCCTAACATAGGGAAGGTGTCGGGAGTTGATTGATTATGAGAACAGGGTATAAAAATTCCAAAATAAAATCTATATTTTTTGTAACTAAAATTAAAAAAAGTTCGAGTGTGAATATTTCTGGACGTTACCAACGAACCACGTGATTCTATAATATTGATTCGGTCCAATAATCTATTACGAATCATATTGAAATATTTTTGTTGAATACGTCGGGGTATAACTCTTTGTGAAGAAAAAAAGTGTGTGAGCATAACACTAATTTGGTATTTGTTATTTGGAAATGAACTCGTGTTTTTATAATTAATAGGTTTTGTGTTCATCTGATAATCATTTGTGTGTATTGTTAATTGAATATTATTGGTGTTCGAATTATGATCAGCAAGCTCAAAAAAGAAACTTCTTGATCAACGTATTTCATATATCTTGTTGTAACCTGATCGATTTGGTTTGGTCACATGGAATTTTTTCAGGGATACCTGCAAAGGAGTTTTCGAAAAATTTTTTTCCAAAGAAAAATTTTTGGAAGACATTTTAAGGGATATATAATAATAAAAGATAGTAAAAATTTTATATTTTGAATATTAAAATATAAAGGTTCAAGTATATAATGTAGCAACAGTAAAAAATAAAAAAAACTCTTATATAACTACTGGGGTGTATATTACGTAAAGGGGGTATATATGACGTTGTTTCTTGACTGTATAATTCTATTAAAAGTAAAACTTTTACCATATGTATATACTAAAAGATATGGAGTGACTTGTGTATATTCGCGAGTTGTTGTAAGTTAAAAGAAAATGTAATAGCTAGCGAAAATAAAATAAAAAAAACGTCTAGTTCGTAATAATAAAAGTAATTCTACTGCGCCATTTTAACAAAAATTGGGTAGAGCGGAAAGAGTTTTTTTTTTCCTCACCAATTTTTGACGTGTATTTATAAATTCGAATTTTTAGTATGATCAGAATAATGTCATGTGACAATTACACAATAGATAAACAAAATAAACTATTTTTAGATATGCTTGTTGATCATCCCTATAAATAAATATTTTTTTTTAAAAAAAAAACTAAAAATAGAAGATAGCGTGAATCTAAAGTACGGATTGTGATGAAAAATTTAAAAATAACATTGACAGTAGTAGTGATTATTGCATTAGTGATACATTAATTTTTTTTTTTTATACATGGAAAATTTCCTGTAAAAAAAAGCTTTAAAATTAGTAAATAAAATAAAAATAAATTATATTAATAAAGCAGAATGAATAGACTCGTATTATTTGAGATGATAATATTTCTACAATTCTATGAGTTAAGAAAAGTATCAAACAAATAAATTAAGAATCTTATACTGACCTTTTTGAGTAAATCAAGTCTTATTGTAAAATATACTAACATTATAACATTAAACTCAATTTCTTATAAGCCTGATTTCTATAAACAACCTAGCTTGTTTTAAACCTAAACTATATTGAACTTATTAATAAATTGTATTTTTTAAATTGCAATTTTTTTTTAATTCATACATAATTACTACTAGGAAACAGGAACTGTTGGAGTATCCGAAGCATTATAATCATAATCAATTACTCATCGTAAAAAATTGAAATTGTCTACACAAAAATATGTATTGCTAAAGTTAAAGATAATTTATTATTATAATTCATAATTCGTTACAAAAATTAATGTATAACATTTATATTTTGTTTCTACACAAGCGTACGCCTGATTTTAAAATCTCATTGGCCATAATTTATTGTTTATTTTTGTTACTATGTTATTACATTAGTTATTATTGTTTCTATATAATAGTTTCATAAAATTTTATTGACCATACATATGGCGTGACGGACAGACATTGCATGCTTTTTTGAGTGGAATAGAAAGTCCTTTGCTAACGCTTTGGACAATAAACTCAGAAACAGGAAATAATATAGTACAACAGCATAATAAGCAAATTCATATGATTACATTTCATTATAATGATTTAATAATTGTTCATTAACTCGCGTTTATTTTTTGCATGCCAGGCATCCTACGATTTCTGTAAAATTAAATTTAAACGCTTATAATATACCAAACTCAGTTGATTATATTTTTACTCCAAATCAAATTTCTGTTATCGTACTATAGTAGCCTATTTTCAAGATTAATGATAAAATCATGTGATAAAATTAAAGAGCAATCTTCCATAAAATTTCATATTTTTAAAAATATCAATTGACATTTCCTATATGTTTACATTAAAAGTTTCAATTATTAATTTTTTTTTTTCTCTTTTTAATTTAACAAGTAAAAATATTGATTTTAAATTTATTAATAAGTCATAATATATATATATAAATTATTTAAATTACAAACTAAGGAATGTATAAAATATTTTGCTTCTCTAGCCTTAGTGTTTAAATAATTCAAAATAAAATATTCTTTATAATTATAATTTTAAAATCCATCTAAAAAAAATGCATATAAATAAACAACAATTAGTAATTAAAATATTATTATTTATACAAATATTAAGAAACTAACCATCAGGAATCTCAAATTCATCTTGTTCTTCCGAATGAAGGTTTGGATTATTATGTATTTCATCATCGTCTATAAAAATATAAAAAAAGTACTTATTTAATTAAAATATTGCAAATTAAAAATTTATAACAAATATTCTACTTACCAATAGCTGGTCCTTTCACTTGTTGTATTGTTTCTTTTTTATAATCTTTTTGAATTTCTATATTTTTTTAAATAAAATAAATAAAATTTATCAAATAAATATTGCATAAACAATAAACTAAGATTTAGATTTATTTTACTTACCATTCTTGGAATTTATTTTTAAAGTTTTAAATACTTTAGACAAACTTTTACTGCTGGCTATAATTGAGATAAATTTGTATTATTATTTCAAAAATTTTTGGATATATAAATAAATTACCTTTAAAAATACTATTCATTTTTGATGTTTTATTAATCTTTTGATCGTTTGAATTATTAAAATCTTCGACTAAAAAACGAAAATTTGGTTAATAAATATTTCATCAAATGAAATTTTAATAAATACTTACTATTATCAGGAATATTAAAGTCATATGTTTTACTATGAAATGCTATTTAAAATGGTTAAAAAATTATTATAATAGTTAATAATGAAAATAGCAATAAAAAATATTAACCTTCTTGTCCTTCTATAAACATTTAAATTAAAAAAAGAAATTAGTAATAATTTCATATCTTAATCAATAAAAAAAAAATCTTATAAGCAATACCTTCTGTTGCATTCTTTGGTTCAGGTAAATTTTCAAATTGATGAATTTTGCTTGTAAATAATCTGATGCTTGTATAATTTGTGCTAGTTTTTATTTCAAAATTATTCACTGCTTTTGACTGGAAAAATTCATTTGGCATATTTTGATATGATAGATGAATTTCTCTTATTTTTTCCTGAAGAGATTCAATATCAGGTCTTTTTAATGGATCAGAATCCCAACATTGTACCATTAAATTTTTATATTCTAAAGGAATATGTGACATAATTTCTGGTCTCATACCATTAATTATATCCATTGCAAGATTATAATCATCATGCTTATAATTAATAAATGGTGGTTGTCCAGATGAAATTTCCCACATAAGTATTGCAACACTATAAATATCAGATTTAAAAGTACATCCTTTTCCATTAATAACTTCTGGTGCTATATAGGGAAGATTTCCATATATACATTTTGATGATTTATCAGCAGGTCCACAAAATCCAAGATCACTAATAAACCATCTATCATTAAATTGTGAATATAATATATTTCCAGAGTGCAAATCTCTATGAATTGCCTTCTCTTCATGAATAAAATATAGTGCATTAGTAATTTCAAAAGTAATTTTAATTCTTTCTTTCCATGTAAGTCGTTCATCATTTTGTTGTAAATATTTTCTTAAATCCATATCCATTTTCAACATTACAAGCAAGTAATTTCCACTTGATATATCTTGTGTTAAACCATAACATCGGACAATTTCTGACCATTTATTATTTATAGTTAAATGTGATTTAGCCTGTAAATATAAAAACTTTTATTGTAAAACAAAAATTGGCTAATTTTATAAATACAATTTAGAATATATACCTCTTCAAACCAACTTTGATTTGCACTTTCAACATTTTCTAATTTTTTGAGTACTACCCTTATTATTAGGTTTTGTATTCCAGGTCTTTTAACTCTTTTTAATTGTTGATTTTTAGAATCCCATTCATCATAATATCCATCGATCCAACCTGCAGTATAAATTTCGGAAAATCCACCTTTTGTAAGATATTTAATATTTTTTAAATTATTATATGGAATCCATTCAACTATAGTATTTGGCATAATTGATTCTATTTGACATTTCTGTATTAAATTATCAATATCATCATTTCCAGATGTCCAATGTGAAAATTTTCCTTTTAAATAATTTCGAATACAATATTCACAATATAATGTAGCTAAACATTCTTGATTGCAATTTTCACAAATTCTTTTTGTTCCCGTATTTTCAAGAATTTTATTTCGGTCGTAAGCTTTAGTTATATCTTTTATTGCTTCAGTTTTTTCATCATCTGTAAGAAGTTTATCAGCAAGAATTGTTTGTTTTTTAAATTCATGTCGTTTGTGAATATCAGTGTGAATATTATAATCAATTAACGAATATGCTCTATGAGTTGTTGCATTAACTAATTCATATCGAATGGTAGACATAATGCAATTTAATTACAAACTTTAAAAAGAAAAATTTTTTTATTAGTATATAAAAAAAATAAGTATATGAACTGGAAAGGAATTTTTGACAACGAAATTTAAGTTTCAAAAAATTCCTGAATAGTGTAACTATAAATTCGAATTTTTAGTATGATCAGAATAATGTCATGTGACAATTACACAATTAAAGTTCAAAGAACGAAATAAACTATTTTTAGATATGCTTGTTGATCATCCCTATAAATAATTATTTTTTTTTTAAAAAAAAACTAAAAATAGAAGATAACGTGAATACTAAAGTAGGAAGTTACCGGATTGTGATGAAAAATTTAAAAATAACATTGACAGTAGTAGTGATTATTGCATTAGTGATTATACATGGAAAAATTTCTTGTAAAAAAGTTCTAAAATTAGTAAATAAAATAAAAATAAATTATATTATATGAAGCAGAATAAATGAATACTTTCATAATAATTGCATAATAAAACTTTCATATGTTTACGTTTCATTAATAATGATTTATTAATAATTGTTTATTAACTCACTAATAGATTACTTCGTTTATTTTTGCATGCCGGACTCCGTAAAATTAAATTTAAACGTTTGTCAGCAACTGTTTGACCAATCCAATTTACTTTCAAAATATTTATTTATAAAATAAAAATTAATAATTTTAACTTTATTTACGAAATATTTTAATAACTTTACAATGTAATAAGTATTTTTATATATATTAAATTATCAATATTTTTAAAATACTTTTTACTTTTTAATTGAAACCAGGTAAATAGTATAGCTATTTGCTTGGAATTAGTTTTTTTCGAAAATAAATGGTTCCTGTACAGTAAATAACATAAATTTAATTTTCGCAAAATTTGATCACAAAATAATAATTATATTGGGTAAAAAAATTCATTTTAACCCAGATTTGAAAATAACAAAAATAGTGAAAAAATAATACTTTTTATATTCAGTAAGTTATGAAATGATCTGTTATACTTATAGTCGGTTAAAAAATTTGATCGCTTCTTATAAAATATGTAAAGAATATAACGTATACAAGAAATATTATATTAATTATAAAAATAATATTATGCGCATCGTACGTATCTTATTTGAATGAGATAAAGTCTAATATTTTACATAAAATAGTATTTATATAAAAATTATCAATCGTAAAAAAGATTTTATTTCGATTAAATTAAAAATCATATAAACCATTTTTTATATTATTTTTCCACAGATACACGTTGTTTTATAATGTGATCTAGACTAATTTTATTTGGTAAATTTCTGTTGTTATAATTATTGTAAAATTATTATTTCAAACACGTAATATTAAGTTCCTTTCCACAACATTACTCATATTATACCCAACTTTACACAAGAAATTAATACTAATATGTTTATTAACTCAAATGGTAGTATTATTAGAGGTTTATGCTGATCAACGTAACTAAATTGTATGTATTTTATATGTCTTATAATAATCTTGGTGTTATAAGTCATCATTTTATGTTTCTCGTCATGTGATTTATTTATGTATGAGTTCAAAATTTTTAATATTACCAACTATATTATTAATTACATTGTCTATTTTAATTTTTTTTTATAATTTTTTTGGTAAGGGATAAATTAGAAGAGGTTGTCATGATACCATTTAAAATTATATATGGATATTCAATTATGAGAGAATAACTAAAGGTCAAATTATTTGCTGATTCGGAAGTTAAAAAAGAAAAATCAAAGATTATTCAAGTGTGTGGTGAATACATGAATGAACTACGATCTAAAATATGTAATTGAGTTTGAAGAGTCAAGGGTTAGGTTGATCCTTTCTAAAACTTCATTCCATATCTGCCACTCCGTACTTATGTTTTTCGAGCATTCCCATATGTGATTCCATGATTCAACATCTATATGACACCTTGCGCATTTATTAGATTTAATCCAAATACTCTTCTTTTATATAAAAAATCATAACTCGGCAGTGTTTGAAAGAAAATTTAATTCTAAAAGCTCGTATTTTTGTATCTAAATCGTTCGTTATATATTTATCACTTGAGATTCCATTTTTAATTAGTTTAAATGTAAACGTCCATCAAGATATTCTTCATATAACTCTACTTCCATTTGAATCTTATAATCTTCATCCCTTATATTTAGATGACGTTAAAAAAAAACACCTGTAATTTTTTCTTTTCTAATTTCTATCAATTGCTTCAAAAATTTTAATAGCGTGTAATTTTTATGATTAATTTCTTTTTTAGAGCTAGATTCTTCAAAAAATTCATTATAAATGAAATGAATTTTATGATTAATTACTATATTCACTGTATTATTATCCAGAATAATAATTAAACTAAAAATCAACGCCATTATTACTCTTTCATATAATTATCGCTTTTAAACTTTTAAGCCATACAAAATATTTTCCCATTATTAGTTAAAAACTTAATCTCGTTGTAAAAGAAAGACTTAAGACAATTATCCGAAGAAGCCTCCCTTCTAACTAAATTAGCCACAAATTATTAAGAAATCTGAAATTATACTTTGATTCTCTAGAAGCTTGTTTAAATTTTCCCAAAATATTCATACGGTTTTATTTTACTCGTATTTCCATCTTTAACCTTTTCTTTTCTCACCTTAATATTTCTTGATGACCGATCTAATGGTAAATAAATTAAACAATCATGATGTCATGTAACGTCATTTTCTTACATGTTAACTTGTATTTTTTCCGCTGTTTATTATATTATCTATAAATGTCTCGCACCTCAAAATTTATTCCGTACAAGTTTTATCTTAAAAAATTTTTAAGAAAAAACGTGGTTAAAGCAGTGTATACAATTATTATCATTTTAAAAATCAAAAAAAAAACTTATTTAACAAACATTTATTTTTTTTATTGTGATACTTAAATATATTGTGATTTATAATTAACAACATATATTTGTAATTTTCAAATTATTATAATTATAAATAAATAAAACACGAAGTGTAACTTTGACATTATACTTTAGATTTATAAAATATTTTTTTCTTTGAAAAAATACGCACAACTAATGTAAAAAAAAAATAAAGTAAGGGCTCGTTTGATCGGCATTATTCATGTGACAAAAAATTAATAATAATAAGGGATCATTTTTTGTTTTTACAAGCATCTCTCTCTTCTCTCTGTTCTCTCTGCAATATGTAATTTCATTATTTGAGATATAAAATTAATAAAAATAGCTATAAATTCTTCCTATTACATACCTTCCAATACTAATAGTTCAAGTCATTCAAGCAATCTCAATAGAAAATCAATTAACATCAGGGAATCAGGAAATAAATTCTCAATAAACCCAATATGGAAAATGCTAATGTCGGTAACGTGCCTAATAATGTAATGTAGGTAAATAAGATTTTAGTGTATGTAGCAGTTTTCAAGTTATTAATAACTATTATTGTCATTTCAGTACAATTATTTCCAGAACTACAAAAAGTTCTTGATAGTTTGATCCCAAGGCAAAGAAAAAGATAACGATGCCTCGCAAGTGAAAGTCGATTTATTGGTAGTGATTTTAGAAGAACGTAAAAAATCGGTAATATTATTTATTTTGTTAAGATATTTTCACTATATTTTTTTTTTGATTTTTACTAATATTTTTTTTAAAATTTTTCATTATATTTAAATATATATTTTTAATTTTTACTTCTATACTTTTTAATTTTAATACTTCACACTTACACCAAAAAGTTTTGTCATCAGTTTCTATTTCCTAATAACCCATATAAGAAATTAGCTGGAAATTAATCTCTGTTGCAATTTACTGCAATAATTACTGCTGTTATTTCTCTTGCAAATGCACTATATTTTTAAGTATGATGAATAAACAAAATTTTTTATCTTATTATTACTTGTGTTTATTTTGGGACAAAGTTTCTTATTCTGATGATAAAGATAGAACGCGATAGAACGCGATTGGCTTATTTATAAAAATTATGATTTTTATTATTATTTCATCACCAATGTTTAAATTATTGATTGTGGTGATTTTGAGTATTTATGTCCAATCACCTGTAATAAAAGTTAATTTCGTAAATTTTAGGCTGGAAATATTTAAGTATATCATTTTATTGATTGCCCATTAGTCTAAGGATTTGGTCATTTACTGCTAACAATACACACAAACTACACATTATAAATTGCTTGTAATGTAGTTACGCACAATTAATTGCATAATTTTTTTATTTGAATAGCTTTATTTAGAGGATGATGCGGGTTTTGATTAAGTATTTTTTTTCAATACAGAATTTCAAAATCTTGTTTGAAGAAAATGCACCATATATTCCTCAAATAATGCCAGCTAAAGCGAGCGCCAATCTAAGTAATCCACCTATACCCCGAACTTCAAAAGCATCTAAAGTTCCTCCAAAACAATCACAAAGTGATCAACTCATTCCACTCTGGAAGAAGCTATCAAAAGGGAAGCGTAAATGTCAAGAGGTTATTGTTAAATCAATTCAAAAAGAACTTGGGCCACGTTATTTAGAACTAACATGTTTAGGTATTAACGTGTTTAGATATAAAGCTCAACAAGGTGAGCATCAAATGGATTGCTACAACATCTTTGGTTCGGGAACCTGCCCTATATCAGTATCAACATGGCAACATGGTGGATTGATAGCAAAAGAAATAAAAAATATTATGTACTTTACGATGAAATCAAAGAACCTGGAATCCCACTTGATGAGGCGTTAGAATTATATTCTGAATCAAGTTCGGATATATACCAGAAATAACATACCTGAAAGCATCTCCGGATAGAGAAGTAACAGTGAAATTATAACATAAAATTTTTATCATGTGAGATCGATGCGCAGTTGATATCAGAAGTGTGACGTAAGATTTGCATAAGTTCTCATCCCAGGATTGACGAACTAATCTCCATGATTCGCAAAGGGGTGGAAGATTAACGAAATGATGAAATGCAGTGCGTCATTAAATGGAGATCTCAGGACCGGTTGTTCTTGGAAATGTTACCTTTGATAAGCGTTATAAAACAGATAGATCATTTTTTTGCTCAGCCATATACGCAAGGCAGTATGGATAGAACATACAGTACATCGAAGTAATTGCAAAAAATATTCTCAGTGCCCTTGCAGAAAACACTGATATATCCATGCTCTTTGTGTGGAGAAGATATTTATACGAATGAATTCACTCCATACAAGAATTTACCCTAGGTTCATGTGGACACATCTTTGAAAAGTATCTGGTGAGTGAGTGGAAAAGCGATTTGTCCGAATAAGAAGTGTAACAAAGCTGTCGAAACTTTTCTTCCTCCAGATCTATTTAAGGGATCGCAAGACAAATCTTCAACTGCAGATGCCACCTCCAAGCCAGCGGACGAGGATGCCGATGTAACGCTCATTAACGAACTAGGATTATTAGGCAGAGGAACAAAGTTCGTCCAACAACACCAAGATAAGCAATCAGCCCTATTGAGATTTTAGTATTGCACCTGGCAATTCCAAAAATTTGTATAACTCACAAATCAAGCGCATATATGAGAAAATGTTGACGTACAGTCAGACCTCTATGTACCGATATCCTATGTACCGATAATTGCCTGTACCGAATTTTCTATGTCCCGTTTCACAATTAATAAAAAAACCTCATTGTACCGATATTATATAGTAACAACCGATACTTTTCTTTGCCACTTTATAATTAATACATAGTATAAAGATGTATCAATACTTTAGGTACACTGGTATTAATTCGGGCCAACACTATAAATTTGGCCGAAGTTAACGTAAAGATTCCATCCAAATCACATGACATTTTAATAGATTGAATTTGCATAATTCTGGCAAGAATTGGATTTTGGCCTGCATTATGATTCACTGATGACGGTATATCATATATGTAACGATAATTTGATATACCGATATATTTTCCCCCAAACAACAGTATCGGTCCGCCCGTAATAGGAAATCGTCTGCATCTACCGAAGAACCTTCTAGCAAGTAAGTTAAAAAGTAAATTTTTAATAGCTGATGATCGATTGATTTTCCTATTTCTTCAACTTGTTAGTTAATTCTGTTTGAATTAATTATTTATTTAGATTCAATTAAGGAAATAAAAGAAAAAAAATTTACTAATTGGGAAGTTACGACATGAACTGGTGGAAAGAAAGTACCTAGTATGCTAAAAAAAACTTATTGAAGTTTTATTAACTGATATTCCCGATCGTGATGTGAGATTGGAAGAAATAAGTGAAAATGCAACTAAGTATTTTTTGTAATTATTCAATAGATTGAAAGCGCCAAATCTAAAAATGAAGATTGCAGGTCAAGAACTTATTCCCTGCTACTTTGACTTTGGGGAAGTTATACAGATGGTGATCAAAAGTATACGGACATTTTAATTTGCCAAAATTATGCCGATCATCACGTGATGACGTAATATAAACAATACGTCATTTAACGCCTTATATCATAATAAAAACCTCCCCAATGTTTTTTTTTAATAAACATTCACCAAATATGAAGCCACTCACCCCAAAAACCCGATATGCGATTATTTATGGTTATAATTGTGGACAATCGGGCCGTTTAATTGCAGAACACTTGGGGTGTAGTAAAACTGCTGTTTATGATGTACTTAAACATTTTCGTGAAACTGGCTCTTTCACACCAAAAAAAAAATCAGGTCGCCCTCCACTCTTTGACTCACCAGCACGACAAGAACTCAAAGCTTTTGTTAAAGAAAATGGTGAAAATCGTCGACTTTGTTCAAAAAAGCTTGCAACTGTTTGGACAGCTCGTAAAAAGCAACCTATTTCTGTGTGTACCATACGCCGAAACCTCAAAAAGGTTGGACTTAGTGCCTGTATTCCCCGTCATAAACCTGCAATGACAGAAGCACATCGTCAGGCTCGTCTTGAATGGGCTCTTGCACACAGAGATTGGACAACAAGAAAATGGAGAAGAGTGCTTTTTTCAGATGAAAGCACTTTTACACAATTTCAGAAAGGTCGTCAGGGAAGGGTTTGGCGTGAACCAGGAGAAGAATTGAATCCTGATTGTATTGCAGTTACCGTTAAACACAGTCCTAGCAGAATGTTTTGGGGTTGTTTCTCCTGGCGTGGGCTTGGACCAATTGTTCCGTTAAAAGGCTCAGTTACAGGTCAAACTCATGCTAAAATTATTCAAAACTATGTTGTACCTACTTTGGATGAGCATTTTCCACAGGGTAATGGAATTTTTCAAGAAGACAATGCTCCACCACATCGTTCAAAAGTCGCTATGGCCACCCGTGAAGATGCCAAAATTGTGGTGCTTCAATGGCCAGCACAAAGCCCCGATTTGAACCCCATAGAGAACATGTGGGCAGAAATGAAAGCAATGGTGCATCGACGTGACCCACCACCATCTAATATCAAAGTACTTGAGAAATATGTTAAAGATGCGTGGGATGATATTCCTCCAGAATATTATAAAAAATTAATTGATAGCATGCCACAGAGAATTGAGGCAGTTATTGCTGCAAATGGATATAGTATTAATTATTAATATATAATTTTTTTTTACATAAAATTAATAAAGGACAATCAGATTAATATATTTACTTAATAAATTTTATTTTTATTATATTATTTTATATGAAATTTTTATTTTAAAAAATGTCCGCATACTTTTGATCACCATCTGTATTTAATCGAATACAAGAAGTTAAAACTCGTCCACGACAAAGGTGGAGTTGAGGTTAAAATAATTCGTTATTTTGCAGTGTATTTAGCAGAGTATTTAGCAATTTTCAATGATTTTTTATTAGCTTTTTCATTATTAGGAAAAAAAATAAGAAAAGTAATTTAAAGAAATTAAAATTCAAGATGTTTATAGGACTTAAATTCGCATTTTTTCATTTTGTATAGAGATTGTAATTTAATTTAGATACTGTAACAAATATTAACGAATTTAAAAAATATATATTTTTACATTTAAAACATTTAAAGGAATTGTACAATCAATAACTTATCTCCTAAATAAATGTTAACACTTGTTATTGACATTATTCTAAAAGTCACTTCTTACGGCAGTTGAAATAGAGCGATAAAACTAAAGATGAAAGCAAAACTATGAGTTATTAAACTTCTTATCCACGGTGTTAATTTCATTGTTACCGATGAATTTATGAAATTCACTTAGAAAAATGTCTCGTATAATTTATATTATTTTAGAATTTAGTAAATATGCGAATAAATAAATAAATACGTAAAGCAAGTTTAAATATAAAAGGATGTCAAATCCAAGTACTACATTTTTTTAAATAAATTCCTTTTTTTTATTTAGATTAGTCTGAGAGGCAAAAGTACCTTATTGTAAAATATATGATACGGGTCAAGTTAGCACCGTGTGGTGGTTCAAGAATGATACATTTGCGTCCGAGAGTTAAGTAATCTATTATCAACTTGCTTACTTGCGTATTATTTATTTATACAGTATATTAACAATTCGCGAGATTTACTATAAATTTATTTTAAATTGTTACAATATAGTGAGCTTTATACTATAATTTATATAAACACTGATTTGTTATACAAAATTTTTTTTTGGCATTATTTTATATTTTTATATGCAAAGAAAAAAATTCTTTTTTTATTTTCCATTATTGTACAGTTACTACAGTACAAATGATGTCTTCGCCTTCTTTCTGTTTCTTTCATGTTAATTTGTACTTTCCATCATTAGTATCTTGCTTCTATGCCAAAATATTTAATAGTTAGCCAATACTTAAAGATATTTATTTTCGCTAGTATCTCAAATAAGCAAAATGATAAAGGTAAATGCATTAATTACATTATTTTATGCATTTACTCTGATAAAGTACTTCTATAATATTAAACGGACTATTCCGTAATACTTATGGTAAATTCTCAAAATTCCTTGAGAATCAAGAAATATTTTCCGTACCGTCAACAAAAAGTTCAAACCTCTGATAACGCATAATTCAGAATAAATAAAATATGTACGTTCAAAATTTCATCATAGTATATCTTACTATTTATTATAAAGAAAAGTCAAAATGGAAAAATCAAGTTTTTAACTATTGCATGAGTTTCACTTTGTTTAATAAATAAAAATAAATTAATTAATGACAAAGTAACATAATAAAATTATAATATTTATTTATAGCTATGATTAACAATTAAACATGTCTAAAAATATTTTATTTCGTCAATTTTTAAAATCAATCTCATAACTTCGGGACAAATATAATCACGTGCAATCGGCCTTTTATTATTGTTGCGCAAGTAAAGTAATACAAAGAATAAAAACAATATATACAAATAATTACGTCATCATTAAGTATAAATATCAGTACCCCCCGTGGCTTATCCTCTTTAGGCCTTTTTTTACTTGTTGCGGTTCGCTCTTGAGAAAAAAAGTTAAAGTCTCATAATGACAGAAGATAGTGACAATACTGATAGTAATGAACATAATAATGAACGTACTGAAGAACCGAATATCGACCAAGACTTATATTTGGACGACTCTGACCATGCCTCTTGGACACCAAGTGGTCCTATAGCTGAACTCCCTTCAGAAGTCTTCAAAAAGAATTTGTTACCCACAGACTCGAGAAAATTTATTCTACAAAATGAACCCAAAAACAGAAATATCTCCTTTNAAAATGTTTAGCTACATCATATTGTGAATATTGTATTCGAAATTATTTAAAAGGAAAATTTTCACATTGGACATCTGGAAATGATGATATTGATAATTTAATACAGAAATGTCAAATAGAATCAATTATGCCAAATACTATAGTTGAATGGATTCCATATAGTAATTTACAAAATATTAAATATCTTACAAAAGGTGGATTTTCCGAAATTTATACTGCAGATTGGATTGGTGGAGGATATGATGAATGGGATTCTAAAAAACAACAATTAAGAAGATTTGGAACTACAGAAATAGTACTTAAAAAATTAGAAAATATTGAAAGTGCAAATCAAAGTTGGTTTGAAGAGGTTTGTATTCTAAATTGTTTATTATATTAAATAATTTTGTATTGACAATAAAATTTTTAAATTCTTATAGGCTAAATCACATTTAACTATAAATAATAAATGGGCAGAAATTGTCCGATGTTACGGTTTAACACAAGATACATCAAATGGAAATTACATGCTTGTAATGAAGAAAATGGATATGGATTTAAGAAAATATTTACAACAAAATAATGAACGACTCACATGGAAAGAAAGAATTAGAATTACTTTTGAAATAACTATGGCACTATATTTTATTCATTTTGAGAAGGCAATTCATAGAGATTTGCACTCCGGAAATATACTATTTTCACAATATAGTGATAGATGGTTTATTAGTGATCTTGGATTTTGTGGACCTGCTGATAAATCATCAAAAAGTATATATGGAAATCTTCCTTACATAGCACCTGAAGTTATTAATGGAAAAGGATATACTTTTAAATCTGATATTTATAGTGTTGCAATACTTATGTGGGAAATTTCATCTGGATATTCACCATTTATTGATTATAATCATGATGATTATAATCTTGCAATGGATATAATTAATGGTATGAGACCGGAAATTATGTCATATATTCCTTTAGAATATAAAAATTTAATGGTACAATGTTGGGATGCTGATCCATTAAAAAGACCTGATGTTCTAACTCTTTGTAATAAAATAAGAGAAATTCATCTATCATATCAGAATATGCCAGATGAACTTTTCCAGTCAAAAGGAGTAAATAATTTTGAAATAAAAACTAGTACAAATTATATAAGCAGCAGATTATTTACGAGCAAAGTTCATCAATTTGAAAATTTACCCGAACCAAAAAATGCAACAGAAGGTATTATTTATTAAGTTTTTTGTTTATTGATTAAGATATGATGACGTTACTAATTTTTTTTTTTTGAATTTAAATGATTGTACTCGTTATAGAAGAACAAGAAGGTTAGCTTTTTTATTGTTATTTTATTAACTATTATAATAATTTATAACCTATTTTTCTTATTTTTTAAATAGCATTTCATAGTAAAACATATGATTTTAATATTCCTGATAATAGTAAGTATTTATTGAGATTTTCATTTGATGAAATATTTATTAATCAAATTTTCGTTTTTTAGTTGAAGATTTTAATAATTCAAACGATCAGAAGATTAATAAAACATCAAAAATAAATAGTATTTTTAAAGGTAATTTATTTATATATTCAAATTTTTAAAATAATGATACAAATTTATCTCAATTTTAGGTGATAGTAAAAGGTTATCTGAAGAATTTAAAAGTTTACAAATAAGTTCAAATAATGGTAAGTAATATTATTCTAAATTTTAATCGTTTAATTAAGCAATATTTATTATAATCTTATTTATTTATTTAAAAATTCAGACATTCAAAATGATTATAAAAAAGAAACAATGCAACAAATGAGAGGATCAGTTAATGGTAAGTAAAGTAATTTGCTATAAATTTTCATTTTATTTTTGCAATGTTTAAATTAAAAATTTTGTCCTTTTATAGACGACGACGAAATACATAATAATCCAAACCTTCATTCAGAAGATCAAGACGAATTTGAGATTCCCGATGGTTAGTTTCTTAATATTAATATTGTAATAAATAATAATTTAATTGCTAATTTCTATAATTTCTATTATTTAAATTTATTTATATATATATTTTTAGATGGATTTTAAAAATAATAATTATAAACAAGCGATATTGAATATTTTGGTTATTTTGAATTATTTAAACACTAAGGCTAGAGTAGTAAAATATTTTATGCGTTCCTTAGTTTGTAATTTAAATAATTTATATATATATACTATATGTTATAGCTTACCAATAAATTTAAATCAATATTTTTCAACATGTAAATGAGAAGTTGACGCCTCGCCACATTGATTTACGAAATAACTTTTTTATTGATAATAGGTTGTGACGTAATGAAAATTTAATTAATAGAGTCGAAACTATATGAACTAATTAATATGTCGTTAATTAATTTAAAGATTTTTATTTATAATACTGATTACTGTGATAAAGTGATAAACAAGTTCAAAGTAACGAAGCATGTTTGGATTATTGTTGTCGTTATTATTTAAAAGCTGAGTTGGGGCTCAAGTTATTATTTAGAGTTGAAGATTTATATTATTTTTGTATACATGAAATCTAATAACGCAAATTATTTGAATAATAATTCTCTTTTTGCTAAAGGAATGGCTTGTTCTTTTATTTAAGTAAGAGGATGACGTGCTAAAAGAATTATTAGTTATACCCAACTTATTTCATAAATCATTAATTAAAAAAGTAATTCTAACAAATCTGGGTTAATAGGATAGCTAATAAATAGGTTTTTATAATAAATTTATATGCAATCAAAAATTTCAAGAATAATTTTTAATGTCGTTCTATTTATACCGTAAATGTAATACCCTGTGACTTTACAAAGAAAAAATCGGTTTAAAAAATTGAATCATATTCATGATAACTTCTGCAGCCTAATAATTCAAAATCAAATATTTCAATATTACATATTTAGATTATTATATACCATATTTCTTCATCATTATATATATAAAAAGTAAATAAATTATCGCTATAAAATTAACAATTATTTTAATATCATCATCATTATTCGAAATTTAAAGAATTATATTTAATATTATTGTTCAATCGATTACTAAGAATATACGGGATTTTAACGTAATAACCAAACTATTCTTTATTCTTTCATCTAATATTATTAATTTTTAAATTTTAAATTGATGTATTAACATTATTTTTACTACACATGTCAATAAAATCGACTATTTTTAAGACAAACGTGATTTTCATTTTAAAATTAAATTAATTAATATAATATGAAAGGTGGTACGACATGAAATAATTTTTTTTTATAAACAAAAAAAAAAAAATTTTTTGTTTTTAAAAAAACATGTTACCAGACTTTTCTGATAAAAAATTAATTTATACATCTTGTTATTGTGAAGAAAATATTTACCATTTATGTAAAGAATTAGATGATATAAAAAATAAAATTGATATTTACGTTTGTTTTATATCAAATGAAAATCTTACGGTAAAAAAAAAGAAAATTTTATTTTATTTATTTATTTATTTGTTTTTAGTTGAAAATAAATTATAATTTATAATGAAAAACTTTTCCAGGTCCCATTATGGAAACAACGTGCATCTAAATATTCAGATGGAATGATAATTTGGGTAAGGGTAATGGAAAAAAAAAAATTTCTTTTTTTTTTTTTTTAAAAAGAAAAAATTATTAATTTCGCCTCATAATAGGATTATCATGTGATTTTGATAGTTAAAGAAAAAGATTCGGAACAAAAGTATTTGAATTTGATATTTTGGATGTCACAAACCATCTCTTTTATTCTAAAAACATTTTTTAATCAGGATAAATGTTTATGATCTTGACACAACACTTCCATTCCCATGTGATTTTTCAACTTATACGCAAGAATCATTTAAAGTACTCAATATTCCACAATATTATAGGTAAGTAAATTTTAAAAATATATAATAAAAAGATTCAATTGTATAAATTCCTTTTTTTTTTTTTATGTTAGAAAATTTCGGATAATTCCTGCTGAAACTTTCCTAAGAGTTTTTGCATCAGATAGAAGTCATATGGTATCATACTGTATATGTAATACAATTTCAAATTTTATATTTGTAATAATATTAATTAAAAATTCTTTACTTTTTAGATTAAAGAGGATGGAACTTGGAGTTCTCCTCCACCTACTTATCCACCTATATTCACTTCAGATTCTGTTAATAATTTACAAACATTTATAAATATGATAGAGAACTTGGATTCAAATGATTTCGGTAAAGTACTTGAGGAAGATGACTTTAGAAATTACTTTTTTCGTTAGGGAATTTACATTTTTTTCGGTTAGTTTGTCTAGTTTGACCTTGACCCCTTTTAGATGTGGTATTGTAGATCAATTATGGAGATTTTCATAAGATTTTTTTCTTTCCTCGGACATTTGGGCGATAATTTTCACATGTATTTGAGGGGCTTGATCATAAGATCAAAATTTGGGTGAAACATGATAAATAGTTCAATTGCCGATTTTTTTTTTTTTTTTAAAAAAAAAATACATAATTTTTTTCAAAAATTAAAAAAAAATTATTTATATTTTTAATATATATATATATATATATTTTACGATCATGTCAACGTTTAATTCACTCTCTAAAACGGCATCAACTTTTGTTTCCCCAACATTACTTCTTATCGGTTTCATTTCGGTTTTACCGATTTTGTATATCGCAAATTTTTATTGTCGTTATAAACGTTATCAAGCCGCTACACCATGGTCTGTTCAAAATAAAGTTGTTGTAATTACTGGTGCTTCAAGTGGGATTGGTGAAGAACTCGCTTATGAATTTGCTCGCCAAGGTGCAAAATTGATTCTCTGTGCACGTAGAGCTGATAAATTATCTGATGTAGCGGATGTATGTAGAGATAAATATGGTGCAACACACGTAGCAATTAATAAGGTTGATGTTACACGTGAAAATGATGTGGATCGTTTAATTGAAACTATTGAAGCATCTTATGATAAGATTGATTGTCTTGTACTTAATGCTGGTGTATCAATGGGTGAATCTTTAGAAGATATTGAAGATTTTAATATTATTAAAGATATTATGAATGTAAATTATTATGGTAGTACTATGCTTACTTATTATGCTTTACCACTTTTGAAAAAAGCTGAAAAACCTCGTATTGTTGTTGTATCATCTCTTGCTTCTGTTTTACCTTTTGTTCCTATGAGAACTGGTTATGCTGCTTCAAAATGTGCTTTAAGAGGTTTCTTTGAAAGTTTACAAACTGAACTTCTTAAGGATAATATTTTCGTCACGATCGCTTACCCGGTAAATATCTTTTAAAATTATATTTCTTCTTTTTTTTTTTTTTACTAAAAAAAAAAATACTAAAAATAATATCATCATCATCATTACAGGGTATTGTTAAAACTGAAATCAACGATAGTAGATTAGGAAAAAATCCAAAACATCTTGATTTTAATAAAGCTATGCCAGCTGAAGAATGTGCTAAAGTCATTGTTGATGGAACTATTAGAGCTGATAGAGAAATTGTTTTTACTCACCTTGGTAAATTGGGTAAAATACTAGATGGTGTCTTTCCTGATTTATTATTTTACGTTTCTCAAAATTACGTTTTGAAACAAATTAGTATGGATAAAAAAATTCAATGAAAAATCATCAGGAAAAATCTCCTCATTCTCTTGTTTTTAATGTGATTTAGTGATTTAGTTAAAAAAAAAANAAAAAAAAAAAAAAAAAAAAAAAAATTTAAAAAAGTTATTTAAAAAATTATATTTATTATTTATTATTATAACAACAATCAAGTTGAAATCATTTTATTTGTTAAAGGAATAAATCATTCTCGAATTATTTTTATTATTTAATATATTACATTTTTTTTTTTACATTTATTAACTGATTCATGGCGCTGACTTTATATCTTAAATAATTTTATAATCGATAATATTTTCTTAAATCACGTAAATTTCATTCGGCCCCATTAGATTTGGTAATTCTCTTTTTTTGGTGTATTGACTTAACTTATATTTTAACGATAATAAATTAGATTGCCTTAACTATATCCGAACAAAATAATTTGTAAATATAAAAGATAACTTTAATTTCTATAATACCTTGGAACCAATCAACAATTAAAAGAAAATACGAAACGAAACAAAATTTAGATTAAAATCATAATGTTTTAACTATTAAGATGTTACCTTTGGCGTTTCATCACTCTCATATTGAGGTGGCGGTCTAACATATGGTACAGGGACAGAATGATCATCAAACCAATCTCTTTTATCATGATCTTCGCTGGGAATATAATCTTCTTCCTTCTTGTAAATTGGAAATAAAACGCCCAATTCCCAATTATTAATCTTGATTTGCAATTCTTTTGTTTCGCGTGATGTAGTGACCTTTCCCCTAATAATTCGGGTAATTCAGGTTATAAACGAAAAAAAGTTTTGAATACTTATACATAATCTATCGAAATACAAATATTTTAATTTATCTTACAAAGCCGATTCGGAAAAATTATGACTCCTATAATTGAAAAATATAAAGTTATTTTTTCTGTATGAGGTCGTGCATACACATATAAAACATACAAAACATATAAAAAAGTACATACCCACAATAATACCATCCTCCAATATTCTCCTGAGATTCATCAAGGACAGGATCAGATTCCGCTTCATTAAGATCTTCGCGATATTTCGCCAATATAAACTATATATAATAAATTCCTTCTTAGAATTAAACATTTGTATAATCTCATTACTTATGTACCTTTTCGACATTACCTTTGAATGCATCAATAACCCATCACGTTTAGAAATGCAATTTCTGAAATTAAAGAAATTAAAGATAACTGGATTAATAATTGACATAACAACTTTTTTTTTTTCTGGTCAACCCTTTTTCAAATTACCTTAAAATTTCTTTAGGAAAAGTATCCTTATTGTAAGATTGTTCAAAAAGGCAAATTGTAGACGCGATACTAGATTTTGCCTATATATTAAAATTTAACAAGAAACAATTAAGTTAAAGATAGTCAACATACGAATGTTTTAAACTATTTATATGTACCGGATTATCGTATTTTGATTCATCAATTACTTTTCTGGATGGATAAACTACAGTAATCGGGGGCAAAGGAACAACTTCACCTTTTTTTGGGCGAGGCCGACTTTGGGCCGAAACGGGATCTAATCCTCTTGCTGATCGATAAAATTCGTTCAAGAACTGTTTATTAAGACTCCCAATTGAAGACGACTTCATAAAAAATTTTATATATAGTTATTGATCGAATGCTAATAAAGTAAGAGATACTGCTAAAATCACGTACTTGAACTTCTAATTGAAGATCATCTTCACGTTCTCCGCATAATTCTTTAACCGCTTTACATATACGTCCATGACCAAACTTTTTGATATTTTCCATTCCTTTATAAGTTCCAGGAATTGATGGAATAAGGACTGCCTTAAAAATGATTTAATGATTTATAAACATATATAATTAGTAAAGTGAATTTTATCATTTTTTTTAATGAATTAACGACTTACTTTTGCCTTTGAGTAATCATATTCTGGAAGCCTAGTAATAATATGCGTTTTAAGCCCCATCTTTACCAACATATCATTAATAGTTTGAGCGAATTCTGGTAGACCATTATATTCTTTTGATTTATCACGAGACGGAAAATCTTGAACAAAGACAACATTTTCACAAAGTTCCCAATCTTGAGGAATCAAATTTCCGGATGAAATAACGACTCTCATCCATTTATCGAAAATCAATAACATTAATTTCGCGTGAAAACATCCAAATCCACTTTCCGCTTTCGGCGCATGAACGATCAAATAATTCGTGTTTGGGATACCAGATAATCCTTGCTTTTTTTTTAACAATCATAAATTAGTTAAATTGAGATCAATAAATAAATAACATATTACATATAATGATACTTACCGACTCACTATTTGCATCCCAATCTTTGGCTAAAATGATCTGTCGATTATTAGGTAATTTTGTAAATAACCATGGAAAATCAACGATCATAGTACTGAGGAACGCAAGCTTTAAAAATGGCTTTTTTAAAAATTAAATAATGTTATTTTTTTTTTTAAAAAAAAAAAAAAGATGGATCAAATGATTTGATAGTGATCATTCACCTTTTGAATTAAATCATCAATTTTCACATAATTATCTTCACTTCCATAACCTGGTACATAAGTAAGTTTGGTAACACCATTCAAGTATCGTGGGCCTATTTATATTTTTTTTGATTTATTTATTCAATTTTATAAACTTTTTTTTTTAACAAAAAAAAAATGATTTTTACCTTGATCTGTCATTGTTGTGATATATCTAAAAGTCGGAGGTCTTACGAGACGTACGAGACGAGAAAGCTTAAAAAAAAAATTGTGGGAACCCATTACCCATCTGATGATCACTTCATAAGGAAAAGAGACATGTTTTTCATATGTTTAAAATAAACAGAACGAAATGGCGCAGTAATTAACTTTAGATAATCTGGAATTCTGGAATCTGGATACGCCCTTAAATGTACAGTACTATACCGCATATAGAAAAGTTAAAAAGATATGAAGATAACTTATTAATTATATTATTTATTTATTTTTTATTATACTGTATTAATCATAAACTATATTATTATTATATATGAAATTCATTATTACTATTATATTATTTTTTGTTTTTTTTTTAATAAATAATGTTTAAATTCACGACTTCTCTTTCATAAATATCTATTCTCAATATGTAAATAATCAATAAATTTTCTAACAGTGGCATGCATAGTGTATATCATTATCAACCACATGATTATATGTATCACGAATGCAGTTAGCCAAAAATAAAGTATACACAAAAATAAAAATATTATAAATTTAAAATAACCATGAAATTTCTTTTCACAAATTATTGAACATAAATACCCAAGATATTTATCACTTTCTAAAAAATTTAATAACATTGTCGTCTTATTCTCTAATGAAGCTTCACTTTCACGTAAATTAGGACGTCTAACACTATAAAAAGGTGTCAATATTTCATTTGTTAAATGATATTTTAAAACTCCATTAAAGATACGTCCTATAATTTATTATTAAATAAATTGTTAATATTTATATATATAAAAAGTAATTTAAAAATAATATATATATATATATATCCGAATAAAAGTAATGAATTCTAACCTGGTATAATAGGTTGAAAAGGAACAACCGCATTATAAAAATCTTTTGAATTAATATGATGAAATCTTATCAATGGAATACATTTCTTTAATTTCTCTTCAAGTTCCATAAAATCTTCTGTTGACCAATTTTCCAATTTATGCTTATCTAATTTTTTTGAAATTTGTTTAATTCCCCAATCTAAAACATTGTTCCAAATATCAATTTCATAAAGGTTTAAATTATCATTTTCTAAACATGATATTACAATATTTTCGGGTAATTCAATAAAATATTGAGAATTAAATATCCGTGTTGAATAATTTCTAACAAGTATCGTGATATGTCTTTGAAGAATTCGAAAGTGAGGGAAAAGACTTATAATATTGCACATTTCAAGCAAATTATCAAGAAGAAAATTGGTATAATTTGTGGGATCCGTAATGAGGATTTGTGTATAATCAATTAATTTTTCAAGACAAAGTTTATCAGCTGCTAAAAGTACATCGAAAAGTAAAAAAGGATTTGATTTATCAGTTAAAATTGTATCTGTGTACATGAATCTACAAAGAAAAGAAAAAAAAAATTAATTTCAAATAATTTGTAAAAAAAAATTTAATTATCATTTTATTCTAAAATGACCTACAGTACCTAAGAATTATTTCAAAGACTTTAGGAGATATGTTTGGAATACGTAAGATATAATAATCATCTTCTTTATTAATCCACCTACTCGATAATGCACTTTCAAAATATTTACTCTTAACTTTTAAAGTTGCCGAATGAGCATAAAATTTTTTATAATCTTGTTCTTCACCAACATGTAAAATGACATCATAATTTGTATCTGTAGAATATTGTTTATAATTAAAATATTTATTAACATTATCAAAAAGATTTTGCACAAGTTGAAATGCCATTTTTCTTGGAAAAGATTAAGATGAAAAAGATGAAAATAAAAAAAAAAGAATTGGTTTGTTTATTTATTTAACTATGGGATGAACAGCTGCTGACCTAGATATAAATGATTGGCTTGCTTTTTTTCTCGTAAAACGTAGCAAACAACAAACAATACATATTTTGTATACGAAAAACTTTCCCATGCTATATCAGCCATTAAGGATTTACACTATAATCTCATGAAATGATCGCTATCCTTTTTTAGATGATGTAAATAAATTGGTACTTTTCCATTTTTTGACAATCCCCTTTTTGAATGTTGTACAATCTCGAGTCTATTGATCCGCAGTTAAATAAGAATGTAAATGGTAAACTTTTTTTCTTCCCGAGAACTTTTTTTTTTCATAAATTTTTACACACAAACAAAGATTTTAATTTTTTTACTTTTACCTTTATTTTACTTTTGATTTCTGATACAAAATGTCAAACACTATTATAACATCTAGATTAACGGAAGAACGTAGACAATGGAGAAAAGATCATCCTTATGTTGATTTCTATTAAGAAAAAAATTTTTTCCTGTTTTTTTTATTTGTCATCCTAATATCCAATAATATGTATTAACTATTATAATTGCCTTATTTAGGGGTTTTATGCTCGGCCCCAAAAGAACGATGATGGTACTTTAAATTTGTTTATTTGGAATGTTGGCATACCTGGTGTAAAAGACGTAAGTATTTTGAAAATAAAGTTCGAAATTGTCGATCGGATCGATATTTTAGATTATGTTTATAATCGGTTACAAAATCATTTAAATTATTATTTAGACGCCTTGGGAAAATGGGACTTATAAGCTTGTAATGTTTTTTCCTCAAGGTAAATAATTATTATAGAAAAACTGAAAGAATTTTTTAAATATAAATGAACACTAATTTGTTTTGGTTTTGTATAGAGTACCCGGCAAAACCTCCGAAATGTAAGTGTTTGAAAGTTTAAAAATTTGAAACACTGAATTATAACTTTTCTGTTTATATTTTTTTAGGCAAGTTCGCTCCACCTTTATTTCATCCTAACGTTTATCCCTCCGGGACAGTTTGTTTATCGATTTTGAATGAAGAAGAAGGTTGGAAACCTGGTATTACTATTAAGCAGGTAAAGTTTTTTTTAATCCAAATTGTATTTTGTAGAGAATTCATTTATTGATTATGATACTCCTCTTTTAGATCGTGCTTGGTATTCAACAACTTTTAAACGAACCTAATCCACAAAGTCCTGCTCAAGCGGAAGCTTACGAATTATTTAAGTAACTTATCGATCTAAATATTTTGATTTTAAAGATTTTGTATTGACTTTTGCTAAATATTATTTTATTCCATCTAATACAGAAGGGACAAAGCAGCATACGAACAACGCGTCAGACAACAAGCCAAAGAAAATATAATGAGGTAAGTTATTTTTTTTGGAAGCATTTATTATTAATTTATTGATGTAATCATCCAGCTAAGAAAAATTTGTCACTTGTTATTTAGATGATATATTTTCCGAACGTGTCGTGTTTACTTTACTATATGATATCAATTTGATTCAAAAATAAACGATATAACGAAGGACAAATATATGGGAGATGTTTTTTTTAGATATATGAAAATTTTATTTGTATATTTTCTTTGAAATTTTGTAATTCACAAAAAAAAAAAAAATTTTTTTTTCTTTTATTGTCCTAAAATGTTAGTGAGATCTTAAATTTTCTTCGTTTATTGTTTTATAATCAAATACTATTCAATTAATTCGAAAATAGATTATGTATATATAATTAGTACAGTACAAAAATATTTTTTTTCTTAATTCAACTCCCTGTAACTGTTGATCAATTCATAACAATCAGTTCTAGAACTAAGTTCTAAATTGTTGGAAAATTTGAAAGAACGTAAAGAGAAAATAACAACATGAATTTATTTCTCTCATCTATTAATTACATATTGTATTCATATTCATTGAAATGCCAAATGTATTAAAAGTTAACGTCCAAATCTTTCGGAAAATATGCCGAAACGTGAAATAACATTTCCTGAGCATTTTCCGGCGCAAAGTCTGTTAAATTAAGCATCTAGTTAGTGATTCTGACGGCCACAGTTGATCCAGGCACCAATTTTCTAATCATGTCTGAGGATATATCTAAACAATCAAAGCTAATGGTCGATATAAAAGAAAAACATAATTTTAGAGGCATTGCCACTACTTTCACAGAATCGCATGTTTAAGACATTGAAGCAATCGAACTAAAGTAGAAGAATTGAATTTGAACTAATTTAAAATATTAAAAAGTTTCATGAATTATTTTATTGGTGGCTGCAGTTATATATACACACTAGATCGAAATTCTCGATTCTAATATACAAAGATATATATACGTGATTATTTGATTATTTCATTTCATATGAAAGATCCGTTAAATTCATTCGAACGACAATAATTTATGTACTACTCTATCTTTGATATTTTTTTTTTTTAAAAAAAAAAGGAAAGTGATTCTCAGAAAAACCACTAAACATTCATTTACATCTACATCAATTTGAATTGCGCTTAAATAGTTTGGTAAATAACGTATTAATTATTTTTGAATGATATAACAAAGAATGCTTGTGCCACAAAGTTACCCAATTCAAATTTCGAATTTTAATAGACTTGAGCTTTATAAATTTCTCAATGAGGGCTAAAACATCATATCATTAATATGAACTCTGTCAGCCTCAAATTTCCGATTTGAGATTTGGAGTAATGTAATCCATGAGTTAATTAGTTTAAAGACATGTATCATTAGAAGAATTGAGTCAGAATATTATATATTAATTAAAAATAAAAACAAACTTATACTATTTTCTGTCATTCTTAAAGAAGATTCGGAATTTCAATTATGGTTTTTTTAAGCTTTTTTAAGCTTTTTTTAAACTTCGTGAATCAGACAGATATCATGCGTATCTTTTCATTATCTAGTTATATATATAAAGGCCTAAAGCTTATGAATAATGAAAAATTTTATTATTAGATTGCATTCGCTTTTTTTCTTTTTTTCTTCTTTCAATAAAACACAAATTATATTTGTATAGCCTCAAATATACAAATGGTTACTTCAGAAAATAAAAAATTCTTTAATAATGATGGGAGTGAATTCACTTTTGATTTTGAAAATTTCATCAAGAATGAATTAGGAATCGGAAAAAAAACCGGTAAAATAAAAATAAATTTCATTATTACCTCGATCAATAATTGATTATTATTAAATATCGATTTTTTTTTTAAAAAAAAAATATATATATATATTATATAAGAGAAAGTGGCAAATCAATCTAATGAAATTTGTCAAGATTTTCTACGTGGAATTTGTACAAGGACAAAATGTAAATACCAGCATAAAATCAGAAAATTTATCGTTTGCAAATACTGGTTACGTGGATTATGTATGAAAGGGGAAGAACAATGCGAATATTTACACGAATATGATTTATCAAAAATGCCAAAATGTGCACATTATAGATTATATGGTGTATGTAATTCAATAAATTGCATTTATTCGCATGATAAAGTTGAATCTGAAAGATGTAATTGGTACGATCGTGGATTCTGTAGAAAAGGTAAGTACTTATTACACGAATCATTAGTCTGTTATATATATATATATTGACTTTCCCCTTTTTAATATTTTTAATACAGGTCTAACATGTAATAAGAAACATGTAAAACAAATTGCCTGTCAATTGTACTTGACCGGATTTTGTCCTCGTGGACCTTCTTGCCCTAATGGACAGTAAGTACTTTACCAGAAAAGGCATGGAAATTTTTCCTCTATAATTAAATTTTTTTTATTTCTCATTAGCCCTAAAATGGATTTAACCGATAAACATCGCGGGATTTCGTTCTTCAATAAAAACGTATATAACGAGATGATGGATTTAATCAAGGAGGGTGGTGACGATTTTGTAAGTGCATTTTTCCTTTTAATTTTTAGTTCATTTTTCTATAGAATCGGTCCATTGGAAACAATTAGTAGATTTATCCTGCTTAATAGATATTAAAAATCTAACCAAAACTGATAAAGTGGATACGCCTTATTGAGAAAAGGCCATAATAACTAAATCTGAAATTTATTTTCATTTTGTATGTACAGCAAGAAAACATACGAGCTAAGAGTTATAATTTACCTTATAAGAATGTTACTTGTTTTAATGTAAATAAATTTTTTAAATAAAATATCAAGATTTCCTTTTTTATTTATCAATCATTTACTAAATGTATGTATCTCTTTCTACGCCAATAGTGTGGAAAGAAGGGTCATCTGGCAAGAAACTGTCCCGCTTAATTTCTTTGATAATTCCTTAGACATTAATATAATTTGCTGATAACAATACTAATTTACTTATGCAGGAAATATGATATTGCTTATAATTATTCACTATTAATATCAGATATAGAATAGAATTTATTTGCTAGACTTTAATTATGTTGGTTCTTTTGAAATAAGTAACTTCATGGCGGATCTATTGATAAAGCTTCATAAAAAACATTGCTCTCTCAAATAATTTTCAAAAATGTTGTAATTCTTAATTTGTAAATAGTGTTTACAAACTTGTTAAAAAAAGTTTTATTTATTTTCTTTTTTTTTAATATTGTAATATCAACTTGTTAATTTATATTTATTATCTCAAGATTACATCCAATGAATTTTATCCAGATCATATTCTAGTGAAAGCGAAAAATGTATTTATAATTCATCTCGTTCTTCAGGATAGATTTCTCTGACTTTATCTCCAATGATCTCCAATGCAGCTAAATTACTGCCATAATGTTCGGATAATCCAACGTCAATAACATACACTTTTCCATGAAATCTTGACTTGATCTTTTTACCAAGAACCGTATGTCCAACCACCATTCTCTTAATCTTTAAATTAAAAAAAGAGGGTGTAATTATTTATAATTGAATTAAACAAAAAAAAAATAATAATCTAATTTAAACGATCAGATATAAACTAACCTTTAGCACTTCTAGGACTTCATCTACTTCCTTTTCGGTCGCCTTATCATCATTATAAGCAAACTTTCTGTTCCAAAGTGGCCCATCAGGATGAACAATGCTAATTTCATCACTGGCAGCAATTACTTTTTGCTTCCCATCAGCTAAAGCATCTGTACATTTCTCAACTAGACCTGCTCCAAGTTGGTTAATTTTCTCGATACCTTTATTTGCCCATTGTAAGTTAACACCTCCATGAACAAATAATGTATCTTGTTCAACAATTGCAACAACTTGGAAAGAGGACCTGAATGACTTTCCAATATATCCTTTAGAGGAGAATGCGGCAATTCGAGCTTTTTTTGATCCAAAAGTGTTGATATCTTCAGGAGTCACATATCTCCAATCCAATTGAAGATTCATAAGTTCATGATTACCAAAAAGATTTATAACCTATGGTACAAAAAAGATAATTATTATGCCATGGTAAAATAAATTAAATTAATTAAACGCTACGATTAATATTTTTACCTTTCCTCCGACCTTTTCCGCTTCTTTTCGTAATTTCTCGAAGAATTCATAAATCATTAGGCAATCAGGACCTCTATCGACTATGTCACCCTATAGATATTCTTTGAACATTATGGAGAAATTTAAATAATAAAATTTGAAATAGAAATAATAATTACTGTTTGAACCAGAATTCCATTACTACCAGACCAATTCTTGTTATCGTCAATTATGTTAGCTAAATGCAAAACTTTAATTGTTTGTTTATAATCTCCATGTAAGTCTCCTATTGCAACTATTCTACGAGGTGAGTGAATTTCATTTGACTTGACTATGAAATTAGAATAAAAAAAATTTAAGTTTAGACTTAAAATTATAACCAAAAGAAATTGTTTCTTGGACGACATGTATATTTAATAAATAATAAAAAATAAATATGGTTTTAAAAGAAGTGTTTAAGTAATTTGCTTAAACTGCATTTAGAAGATCATTTAAAAAATTTAAAAAGGAAAATTTAATTCGTAAATAAGTTATTTCATAATCATAAGAAGAGAAAAAGTTCAAGAATTTTTTTTTTAGAGATAATGGAGATAATGGAAGATAAGTAAATAATGAATCGGCGTTTTTAAAATACACGCATTCCGGTATCACGCGTTAAGACTGTGTTAAGGTAAGTTTTTTTTCTTTTGGAATGGTTGGATTGATCATTGAGTGTGATTGGTTCTTCTAACGAATTAAAAGCGTGTGTTGAATTGCTATTTAAAGAAAAGGGTTGTTCCCATTATAAGCTTTAAGATTAAATTAAAATTTGGATCTATCACGAAAAATTTATTTACGAATCACATGATAACGTTAAAATACATAGAGGTTCTTCGACTTGTACCAAGATTAAATTCAGATCATCTCTATAAAAACTTCAAATTCAGGTAATAATGTTTGTAAGAACATCGGACAAACAACAGAGGATTTGTTCCCATGTACTTTCTTTTATTTGTGATTTCGATTGGCATAATGGCATTTATTAATTAGAATGAATACTATAATTTATAGGAAAAGAATTCGTCCGAATTAAATTTTAATAGCATTAGTTAGGAATATAATAGTAACATAGAGTCATTAAAAAGTATGTGATAAATCGTGATATCGCGACTAGCATTACGAATTTTGTTGATCATTTTGTTTATAAGTATCATGCATTAGAATTTACACTACCCAATGTCATACATGTATTTACATTCTTCGACGGTGAATAATTAATTACATTCTTCCACCTAACCTTTTAGTTTCTTGTAGTTTCTTGTAGTTTCTTGTAGTTTCTAGTATTAAATCATGAACAACACATATGTCTTCGAAGATAAAAGGGTCTCGGTGTTGTTGGATCAAGCTACAGAAAAACAAAAAGAAGTACAAACAAGATTAGATGCTTTGAATTCATTTAAACAATTAGTTGAGGAACAAAGTATTATATTACAGCCCGAAATATTACATACAATTAGTGGTTTATTGCGAGATTCTGTAAATGAAATAAAAGAATGGATTGTAGATTTTTTGGATTTTACTTTTATGAAAATTGGATTATCGCGGACATTACGGAAAGATAGTATGTTTCTTTTTTGATTTCAACTGGAAATTTTTTAATTATAATTTAGGAGTAATATAGGGAATATATCCTTCTTTATAAGAATAGATTTTATTTTATTTCATTTTTTTTTTTTAGTTAGGAAGGTTTAAATAAATGTTAAATAATAAAAAAAAAAATTTAAATAAAAAAAAAAAAATTTTATTTCCCTTAAACAAATTATTGTTTTAATGACATATTATTAATAATTTTGTGAAATAAATGTACATTGAACCAGGTTTAGAAAAAGTGTTACCTTCCATAGGATATATTATCAACTACGAATCATCTCCTGCTATAATTAAAAAAGCAATACTTTGGAATGCGTCAGTTTATCCATTAATATTTGAAAGAGTGTGAGTTCATTTGATGAAAATCTTTCAGTTACTTTTTCGTCAGTGAGAAAATTTTTTTTGGTTTAAGTGCAATTATTGGGTATTCAATTTGCTAATTTTCAGATCTAAAATTTTTCTATTGGATTATGTTTTATAAAGAGTCGAAAATGCATCAGATTCCACTTCTCTTTGGAATATTTCTTTATCTATCAAGTCTCAAATAATGAGATTTTTTGATTCAGAAAATACTAGTCAAGGCATTAAATTTTGTGCCGTTAAGTACCTTGTAACGGTTGCAAAAGTTCAATCTCGTCGTATGCCGGATTCTTTGGTAATTTTTTTGTTTTAATTAGTTAATTAGTTAATTTTTACTTAAAGAGAAAAAATATTTATCTTGTGATTTGTGATTTTCTTTTTTTCCTTCGATTTTAGGGTAAACCTGAAGAAGACATTTCGTTGTCCCATTGTCATTCTTTACATCCCATATTGGATTTACAATATCTTGAAAAAGAGTCAATTTCAATCGTTAATGGAATGTTGACAGTAATGCGAACAGAGTTAGTACAAATAAATGATGCCGTTCTATTATTTGTATAAGTGGTTAACATAATTGTTTTATAGATCAAGTAGCGTCATTACGGCTATAATCAATGCGTTTGGACCCTTATTGAGGGTAAGACCACAATATGTCTTAACATTTGTTAATCATGTTGTATCATGGACTAAAATCCCGGAAAGAAACTTGCGTTTAAGTCAATTTCAGATTAGGAGTGTTAATAAGTCTATGAAGGTGCAATTGATGGCATTATTAAGGTGATAGTGATAATTTATTAATTTTAAATTTTTTTTTTATTAAAAAAAAATTTTGGTGATTATTAAAAATTCAATTTCACTTTTAATAGAATACATGAAAATGCAACTTTCGTTATGGAAATTCTTAATGCTATAATTGCATTAGGAGGCAAGAATGATCCTTCCAAGTTTCCAAGACAGTTCCGTAGGCATTTACAAAGAGATTCTATTGAAGAAAATGGACGTGGAGCTGTACAAAGGATTCCAAATACTCAACAATCAAATATTAGTGTAAGTAATTCATCGAAATCAATTATTATTATTTTTATAATATTAGTAATTTATTAATATTATTTTCTTAATGTTATTTATATAAAGTTTGATCCTTCGCAATTTGCGCTTCCTTTTGTTGTTGAAGTCATTTGTTTAGTTTTAAAAACGATTCCACAAGAAAGATTGAATCAAGCTAAAAAGGTTTGTAGTGTGAACATTTTATTTTGAGATTTCATCAACCGGTTAAATTATTGATCCTAGGGATAATAGTTTATGATGGTCAATACTCGATAAGCGGAACCCTATGTTTTATTCGGAAAAACTTGAAAATCGATAGATAAGTTTCTTAAATACTGAAATATATAGGATCCTCATTTCATAACGATAAGTAAAGTAATTAAGTGGGTCGATAACATGTTGTCTAATAACCAGGCAAATTATATCACAAATGTTCACCTTGTATAACACAATTTTCTAATTTCCTATTATTCAATTTAAATGCTATTAGGCAATACAAGAACGAAATGCCAAACAAGCAGCATTAGCAGCACCATCAGTACCGCAGCCTGAAACTGAATCAAAACCAAAAGTTCGGGATCAAAAACCACGTGATCCACGTTTAGAAGAGGAGGAAGAAGAGGATGATGATGATGAGTATGACGCGGGTAATGCGATCATTGTTGAAGATGACAGATTGGAAAGAGTGATAAATGAAATAGTTCAAGAAATACCTTTAGATTCTGATTCTGATTTATCAGTTGAAATGGAAGATAAAAAATTCAAATATGAACCTACGTCTCCTCCATATGAAGTTAATGATATGGATATCGAGGATGTTTACAATGATGATATTGCTGCAGAGCCACCGAAATCAGATATGATGGAAGATATAACTCCAACTCCACCTGAAGTCGAATCAACGCCGGAACCACAAGTTGTTTCTATTCCCGCTTTCAAATTTCAACCTTATGCCCTTCCACCTCCTGAATCTTTATCACATGATCAATCTAATTCTTTCATAAAAAATGCCTTTGAAAATATATTGGACGTTGAAGCTGCGTTATCTGCTGATGTAAAAGATAAACGTTCGAATGTTGTTCTGACAACTTTGTCTAATGGGAAACGACTGTCAAAGTCACAATTGCACATAATGGCTTCAAGGTTTTTGACGCGAGGTCTTGAGACTTTTGAGGATGATCGTAAACAATTTGATGATTTAAGAGAATTGGTCATTAAATTCATACTGAAAGATTTCAGAAATAAGTAAGTTTTTTATTTAGTAACCTTTTTTAGTGAAAATTGAATTCACCAAATTATTTTAAATTTTCTTAATCAGAACGGATTTTGCGTTAACATGGCTTGACGAGGAATGGTATCATGACTCCATCATGTTGCGTAAAGACCCATCATATGTAAGAACTATTTCTTCCTGTTATTATTATTATTATTATTTTCTATGTTGCTATGAATAATAATTTATTAAATTTAAATTTTTTTCAGAAATCCAATTACTCAATTTGGTTATGTAGATTGTTAGACAGGATTATGCCAGCACTTGAAGATCGTATATTTACACAATTTCTCTTAGATGTTCCCGAATTGTTTGAAGATGCTGTTGATCGCATCAAGATCTTTTGTAACGATCCTGATAGGTGATTATGCATTCACGTCTTAAAATAGTTTTTAACCAAATTAATGACCGAGTTAAAATTTTATCTTGGTCCTTTATAGGAGTTCTCTTGGATTCACTACTCTAAGCGAATTGATCGAACTTCGGCCACCAGCAAGACCATTTTGTCTAAAAATCCTATTAGCATATTGTCTGCATAAAGGTCAATAATTTAGATAAAAATCATTTTAGTAAAATTTATATTATTTTGACACGATTTTTTCTTTTGATAAAATTCAGATGAACGGCCAAGAAGTTCCGCTATTACTACCGCTAACAAATGGTTTCCAGTTCATCCAGTGATTGGTGGCGAGGTTGAATCTTTTGCATTACAGTCATTAAAACAACTTACCCAAGAGGTACCGCCTCCAACGTACGACTATCATTATCATCATAGTGAAGTTTCAGAATTAGCAAAGGAAGAAGTAAAAGACGAGGAAAAGAAATGGACACAAATAGACGTAGAGCGACATCTTGATTTATTTCTTTCTTTGTGTGCAAAAAAAAGACAATTATTTGAAAAGTAGATATATTTTGATTTATTTCATATATATATATATATATATATTATCTTAAAGATTCTAACATTTTTATTTTTTTAAAGATTAGTTTCAATCTACATCGAATCATCAGATTCCATTCAAAAGTTTATTCGTAATTACTCACAAAAAATTATTGATACAATTGGGTTAACTGGATTAATAGAATTATTCCAAACTTTTCCAGACGGTGCTGAAGATTTTGTATTGAGATTATTAATCGTATATACAAATAAGACAGGTAATTATTTAAAGGATACATGGTTTATTCATTCTTGGAATTATTGTATTAATGATTTTTACATAATTAAGTGCAACCGCCAACACAGTTAATAAATACTGCAAAGTCTGTAATTGTACAGAGAAATCTAGATGGAAGATTTCTATTTCCGATTATTGCATACTTTGAAAAGGTACTCTATCTAACTCAATTCATGATGAAACTATATAGATATTAATATATTTTTATTATAATAAAATAAAGGAAGAAATATTACGACATCTTCCTAAAGTCATATTAACGCTTGATGCAACAGAAAAACAGAGAGAAATTGTAAAAAAAGTTTTCTCGAAGATTATAACAATTTCTGCAAAAACTCCTACACCACTGGAACCAAGAGAATTGTTGGTTTTTTTACATCAATTGAAGCAAAATGAAGTTCCATTAAAACACTCTGTTGAAGGTAAACGTTATTTATATGTTGATTTTATTTTGTCACATCGAATGTTTATTTATTCTTTAATAAATTTTGTAGCAATTCATGTGTGCTTTAAGTTAACAAATATATTCACTTCACAAATATTGGGTGCGGTGTTGCAGCATTTATCTGTACAACCCGAATTGCCACCACCTTTTATGAGAACGGTATGATTACTTTGTAACGTGCGATTTATTTTAAAATATTAGTGTTATTAATATAATTATTTTTTTAGGTGACATTGAGTGTTAGAGCATATAAAAATTTATCTGGATTTGTAAATGAATTATTGTTGCGATATATTAATCAGATTTGGCAGAATGAGATGTTACGTAAAGGATTTATATTGTATTGTACAGAATATTGCCTTAAGGTAAGTAATTATTGTATCTTGAATATTTATCTTTAGATATATTATAATGTAATAATGGCATATTTATATCTTTATTTAGATACAACCAAATGATTTTAAATTCTTATTACGATTACCTAAAACTCAAATATTAGACGTATTAGAACAAAGTGATAGTACGTTAAAAAAGCAATTTAGAAACACTATATTAGAATCTAATGCAGATCAAAGACGGTTACTACCAGGATATTTGATTGAATTGTTAGAAATCAATAATTAAAATTAGTTTCAACTTTTTTTTTCCTTTTAAATAATTGTTAATCAAATAAAATTTGTTTAAGTTTTGTAATTTATTAGTATAATTTTCTGATTTACTTGAATAAAATGAATAAAATAAGAAATTTTGAATTTAAATAAATAAAATATACTTTTAATATATAATGCTTTTAGATTTACATTATCTATTCTTCAATCTTATATTTGATTCGCCATAATGAGACGTGGTATTTTTATAACTTTAACTTCAATAGATGAAAAAGTTATTGGCATTTTACTGTTTGAAGCTTTTTGAGAATAACTCCCTATTCTATCAATACTAGAAACATGAATTTACTGCAATTTGATGCATTTCATTATGGTGATTCTAATGAGCTTTACTTTATCTTTTTATGATCATGATAAGTTATTATGATTTAACTTCTTTGAAAAAGGTAAATGTATATATATCATATAATATATTATACTGTATCAAAACTGTTGAAACAATTTCAGCAGGTTTTAGCAGTTTTAGCAGTTTCAGCATTTCAGATGATTTTGCAAACCTATTTTCAGCAGTTTTATATATACCATTCTGCTAAAACTCTTTAATTTTGGTAAGCAATTTTACTTTATCACCACTATACATGCCACCCAAATTATTTTGGGTTGCCATAATTATAAGTAAAATCCTATAAATTAAATGAATTATGGAATTCCAAATTATAATCATGACATCCCAAAATAATTTGGGCAACATATATAATCATCACTATTATAACTATTATTATCATCTTTACTATCATTTTTACTACCACTATTTTCATTACTTTTATCATTTTATTATTGTTTCTTTCTTTTTTTTTACTTTTTTTATCAATTGACTTTTTTTCATCAGATTTTTCTAACTTTTTGAATCTTATTATTATTTGATTTATAATTACTTGATTTTAGTATTTGGTTTATAAAAGCAAATCTGATAAATTATAGTTTTATAACAAAATGTTTTAAGAAATATTGTATCTTAAAATTTATTTTTAAGATTTCTTACAAAACAGAAGGAATGAGAAAATCATATATCTTTATTTGAATTTTCCAGTACATCTAAACAACAAGTTCATTTTAAGTAGTATGAAAATGCCGGTTCTGGCTCACCCCCACCATATAATCTAAAATACTACCACTTTATATAATCTAATTACCACCATCATATAACTTAATTACCATCATATAATCCACCTACCACTTTTACTATAATTTAACTACCACTTTATATAATCTAGTTACCACCATCATATAATTTTAATTACCACCATATAATCCACCTACCACTTTTCATATAATCTAGTTACCATCATATAGTTTTATTACCACCATACAACTCTATTACCACCAAACAATCTGAAAAAATTAACCGAACAAGAAATAGGATTTCAAAGCCAACGGAGCCAAAAAAGATAAGGAAATATTAACCCATCCAGGAAACCAGCCATGGGGTCAATAGAGCGGAATAGCAAGGCAAGAAATTACCCTTATACCGAGAAAAAATGTAATTGAATAAAAGGTTTACATATAAAAGACTTACAAGATGTCACAATACAGACCATCACTAAGACGTATACTAGGTCAGTTTGAACTCAATATAGAAGAATGGGTAAAGGAAATAATGTGGTATTTAGATATAGAATATTTAAAAGCTTTAGATTCCGAATTTAGCAAAGAAAGTATGTTAGTATCTGGATTAGAAGAGCTAGTAGAAATATTTGATGAGATGTTAGAAGGTGATGATATATGGATACATCCATCACTTTTATCACGAATAAGATATTCTATTCTACCAGATGAGATGGCAATATATGAAAGATTTTAAGATATCATTAAGAACTTCTCAGAGGATAAAGAATTAGCATATGCATTATTAGACTTAATAGAAATATTATCAAAAAAGAAACCTACAACATTCAACATTATAGATTACAATATACAAAGAATATTCACGAATCCTAATGATGAATATAGAAATGAATTCAGCATCTACTATATTAAAGGAGATGAAGATATGGACGAAGACACAGATGAAGACACAGATGAAGATATAGATGAAGTAGAGCAGAATGAATTCAATGAATACTATCAGAATCTTGCACCGACCACTGAGAGTCAGCTGGATAGACTAAAAAATGAGTTGGCTATAACTCTATGTGACGAATGTCTTATACCAACAAGAAGCCAGGAATGTGATTGCTGGATTTTACAAATAGAGGGTTTCTAGTTCCCAGTGAAACCATTTTTTACCTCTCACAATCTGGAATAGGTACATCACAAATAAAAACCCCAAAATCATTCGGATTAGAAAACAACTTCTGTAAGAACTTATAAATCATATCAGCAGCCAATTCAGTCTTAGTGCCAAATATATTAACCTTACCAGATTTAGGCCAGATGTGTACCCGAATTTTTGATGTGAAGACTATAACAATTTTAGAATGAATATCACCAGCATCATTCTTAATATACTTTATCGGAAAGGGGAGAATCTCACGAATACCATCTACAGATTCTAAAGCATATGCTAAGGTAGAAAGATGAATAAACTTATTACTTCCGATATTAATCACAAATTTGTAATTACACAGGAGAGCCTTATTTCCACCTACAAGTTCTACAGAAGAAAACTCAGGTAGGGAACATTCAGAAAGGTAACGTAAGAAGATAGCAACAGGATCAAAAGACCCGAAAACTTGTATACTACCAGATCTAGGAAAATAACGAATGGTATGTACAGAATCAGCTAAAATGATAACAAACTCAATGCAAGCATTAAAAGTGCTACCATCCCCTGTACGTCACCGTCTATTTAATGGATTGTCAGGTGTACTTCNAGGATCAAAAGACCCGAAAACTTGTATACTACCAGATCTAGGAAAATAACGAATGGTATGTACAGAATCAGCTAAAATGATAACAAACTCAATGCAAGCATTAAAAGTGCTAACATCCCCAGTACGTCAACGTCTATTTAATGGATTGTCAGGTGTACTTCTTCTGCATCGTCTCTCACCTTTTGGTTTAGAAAAGTACTGTTCATAACCCTCAAAAGCTTTATGAATAAAGTTGCTATTAATGGCAATAACATCCTTAGTAGGTTCAAGCTTATGACCAAGCACGGTGTAATCAAGCCCTTCAACATTGATCTTAAATTCAGTAACAGTAAGAGATGGAGTAAGTTCACTAAAAGTAAGCATGTCTAGTTTTTTCTATTGATAGAAAAGAAATGTTCAAATTATTTTATCCTAAGAAAAAATCTAATTAAATAAAACTTCTTCATCAATATCTCATATGAGATACCATGACAAACAATAGCTTACCTTTCGAACTTTTAGAAAAGATATTCAAAACTTCATATGAAGGTACTTACTCCCGTTGGCATTATCTTTGCAATTATGCATTAGTGTGTCGAAAATGGGCTGTAGTAGCAAACTCTCTCCTATGGGGTGAAACAGACCTTTATAACCTCTATAATATTAAGGAGTTCCAAATGTACAAACATCTCACAAAACCAGGGACAGTATGTGGAAAATATATCAGAAAGCTTAATATGGATGGAGTATTATTATGGCCTATCTGTATTGTAAAAATGCTACAAGCTTGCCCCAATATCCAGGAACTTAGCATAATAGATTATCAATACTATGGTGGAAAAGGTGACGTTAGAGATTTGCTAAGTGAAATCCTGCATATATTACCAAACCTTCAAAAGCTAGATATCAGATATAGTCGATATTTTAAAAATAGAAATGCCATTGAAAAACTCATAGAAACCCGTAAAGACCTAGAAATCAGAGTAACATGGCAAATGTAATATTTGTAAAGGCTAATCACTACCGAAAAAATTTGGGCACTGCCCTGTTACTGCCCGTCACTGCCGAAAAAATTTGGGCACTGCCCTGTCACTGCCCGCCACTGCCCATCATTGCCGCAGAAGTTTGGGAAACACATGGATTTTTCCTAGCAAGATGACGCTTTAACTTAGAGGGAAAGTCAAAACTTGCTCCACATAGATGACAGGTTAATCTTCCTCGAGAGTGTGAATTTTTTTTAAGTCGATAGTATCCATCTGCAAGGAAGTCACGTTAGTTTTCCGTTTATGTAGAGAAATTGGAATGGTAATTTTTTTACGTGATGATAGAGGGATGGTCAGTTGCCGATTTTGGAAATCTAGAATGACATTAGCACGATCAATCCAAGGTACACCTAGCAATAAAAAGTCCTTATCACTCTTAACAACCATGAAGTCATCTTCAATTTTTTTAGAGTTCTCCCCATCATATACAAGAATACCAAGACCATATACTGTCCCAATAGTATCAGATTTTGTTGCAACACCACTAAGGTCAGGAGCATTACTTCTATCAACGTCAAGATTTAGGCGCTTTACAATATTGTTAGATATCAGAGAACTATCAGAACCAGTATCGAAAATTGTCGTAGGAATAACTAAAGATTTTTCACTCTCAGGTGCGACTACTTTGGTCTTAATAGTGACTACATCACTAGCAGACTTGCGGTTAACAATTCCAATACCTGCTATAGAAGACCATAAGTCATTATTACATATAACATCATCATTTTTACGGATTAAATTTGCAGCCATACTATTAGTTACAACCGAAATCATAGGATGAAGGATAGATGTGAAAAGGTCCTTAACATTATCCCAAACTTTTTCACGTGTTTTTATCAAGGGTTCTCCTTTAAGCTGACTGAGTACTGGTTCTTTATAATTAATGAATTCAGCATTCAGAGCATAATAAGCAGATATAACAGTCTCTTTTGGTACAGCATTAAAGAAAGATTGAACCAGAAGCTTTAAGAGTTGTATAAAAACCTCAAAGATAATAAGCTGCCTTTCAAGTTGTGATTTTTTCTTATCAGTAGGCTTTTTATCTACACGTTTCCTTTCTGTAGGCTTTTTTTTTAATCCATAGCAGGCATGTCCAGAGTCTGAATCACTATCAGAGGAGTCAGAGGAGTCAGAGGCATCAGAAGAGTTAGAGGAATCAGAGGAGTCATGTGCATAATTTGTTTTCCT